TACATGATAGTATCGCGATATTTTCAGTGGTAATATTGTATCGATACACAAACGTCAAGTATCGACCTTTTATTATAGACATTGTACAAGAGAAGTTTACTTTTTGGTACTATAATAATAAAATCAGTTGCTTTTTCAGTCTACTAGAAAAATAGTTTTTCTTTGGGGGACACAATTTGAAGTTGGAAAAAATTTATTAAATCGCAATATGTTTAAAATCGCAACAATATCGTATTGTGAATAAGTATCGCAATAATATCGTATCGTGACATAAGTATTGTGATAATATTGTATCGTGACATAAGTATTGCGATAATATTGTATCGTGACATAAGTATCGTGATAATATCGTATCGTGACATAAGTATCGTGATAATATTGTATCGTGACATAAGTATCGTGATAATATCTTATCGTGGGGCCTCTGGTGATTCCCACCACTGGTATGAAAAATGTGTAATCTCTTAGTTATCAGATTTAGATGGATTTATTTAGCTGAAGTTCTTATAGTAATAAAGTGTTAAATTCAGCCCGATTAGTTCTGGATGTGTGAGGCAGATATGATACAGATGCTGTAGATGATGACTTTTGTTTTTCAACTTCAAAAAAAGTTTCGATGAGGATTCCTTAGATTGGTTTTTCTTTTCAAGACCTGTGACACAGGTCTGTAGTGTTTAGGACCTTTTACAGAGTTAAAACTTTTCAGCGCTCTCTAGTGGACAAGCTACACAACACTTTCTACATAACCTCAAACATACAGCATCTCTGGCATTTCTCTACTGACATTTCTTGTATTGGCTGAAGTATTACAACTCCAATACCACGGCAGTAAGCTAATATTGGCAAATATATTCGGCCGCATGATTTTTCCAGTTGGGTTCAGTTCCACAGCAAACACCCCTCAGATGAAAGGCTGTGAAGATTGTTATATTGAACTAGTACTAAAAACTTTCATACAACACCCTGCCCTAGCAGAAAGATGTAAAACACTACAGCGGTCTTTGGAAAATCTTTAGCAGCAATGTAAAGTAGACAACTTGCAAAATCAGTGGTATTGTCCTTTAACAAAACCGTCTGGTCATCAACAAAGTTTTCTGCCTAAAAACAGATGCACAGGTCGAAGAAACTGTTTAGTTTCAAAGAGCCGTGCTGCATCGACAGGCGGCGAGTCGAAAACAGAGAGGAGTCACTGGAGGTGAGCTAGACAAGCCAATCGACCCCAGCCGGCCCGGGCCTGGGAGAGGAAGAGGGGGGAGGCGCAGGGGAGTCTCCCAGGTGCTGGCTACCTCTTTCTCTTTCTAGACCTTTCTCATCCTGGAGGAGCGGCGGCTCGTTTGAAGTCCTGTCGAGGGAGACGCAGCGGAGGCTCGATGAGGAAGGAGGGGGATTCAGTCCCGGATAATGCTGAGCGCTGCAGAAAAAGGCCGAGGCCATCGATTCCGTCTCCTGCAGGAAACAGCCTGGGGAGGAGGAGGAGGAGGAGGATTCACCCAGAGCCACGCAGAGATTTCTCAGCCTGCTGGTCAATGGAAGGGGAACGAAGGGGGAGGGAGGCCAGACCAGCCGGGTGATGTTAAAAGTTAGCTGGAGATTGTCGGATTAAAACCCCGCGAGGCTGCGGCGGTCCGCTGATGGCCTGAGGCAGTCATCATGGTGGCACACACATCAAATCAATGACAATAAAGCGACACACAGTAGAAACCCGCGGTGGTGGTTTCATGTCAGGATGAAGGGGTCCCATGTGTGAGTGTGACGAGATGAAGATAGAGGAGGTGAGACGGTGAGCAGAAAAAGGTTTGAGGCATACAGGAGATAAGAAAAAGGAGAAGGAGGGACCAAAACAGTAACATAACAATCTGGTTTTTGTAAAATTTTTTTCTCATTTGTTGTCATCATAACAGTTTACTAGGCGATTATGGAAGAGCATGCAGTTATATCTTATGATTATTGTACATTAGCTATAATCAGAGGGGCCTGACAGACAGCAAAGGCTACTGGTGGTCAGAAATTTCAACAGTTACAAACAATTATTGTATTCAGTATTCAGAAGAGCATTATAATACAAGTTTTTAACAGGCACTACATTTGATCTTTTCAATATATCATGTAATATGCTGGTTTGTTTTTATTTTTCATTTCTTTTTCAGGTTTTCTCGTGTAACTCGTTCGGTCCGTAGAAGCTGGGATCTGGAAACGGAAGGACTGATCGTAAAAGAAGGCAGAGGCTAAAATCTTTCACAAAGTAGATACCCAAAGTCCACGTGGGCGGGCGCACGCACGTGAGCCGCGCCGCGTGCACGAGTGGATGTTTGTATTTTAGTCAGTGCATAGTTCCCATGCAGATTAGACTGCTATGCTTTGATACGCTGTCAGGAAGCATGATAGTAAGTTCAAACTGTCACATTTTCCAGCTTACCTCCCCTTCACTGGCTTGATTTAACGCTTAGCACCATGTAATGGTCTTTGCAATAGGATAAATAAATATCTTTGCAAAGGAGCAGTGACACTGTAATTCATTACAGTGGAGCGCTGGAGAGCAGCTTCAGTGTTACCTGCCTCCTCGTCCAATGACTTTCCTTCATCTCTCTAAAGTGAAGCCATTTATACTCATTTCCCCGGCTCGTGCTCCGGCACGGCCGACACGGTGAAGGATGTCTTCCTTCTGCTCTGCTTTCGTGCCGAAGACAACAACAGGGGAAACGTTTTCATTCACATAGCGAATAAAAAGCTGCTGGAGGCGGATTTCAGGTGTCACTGAAGCTCTCCCCGTTCCTCGTACGATTGCTCTGCGAGTCCTGTACGTTCAGCGGTACTATAAGTCACATACTCAGGTCTCTAAAGTGATTGAAAGTCCTGGGGTGGATTAAAAATACCCTGGTCTAAGCCTGAAGAATTCTGCCCCTCTTCACGTCAAGCGATTACACATTTGATTACTTCCCGACCCCTCCAAACCGCACAGCGGTCCGGTCTGATGGATTTGTTTCTCCGGTGGTGGTGGTGGTGGGGGGGGGGGGGGGTAATCTCTGCCCGGGAGAATTTGGATAAAACGTGAAGACAACAAAGGCGTTGGCATAAAAAGCCCAGCCTTTATTCGACCCTGTTTCCTGATGGAGCGGCAGAATTCCTCAAAGGCAAAATCCAAAAGTCAACTCTTGGCGGGGTGGGAGTGAAGCAAGTGGGGGGGGGGGGGGTTATTGGGAGGCGGATGCAAGTGCTTCTCTTCTGGAGTTCTTAAGAGTCTTTGCTGGTTGGATGAGCTTTGGATGAGAGTTTTTCTAGATTCAGGGTAAACGGAAGAAGCTGCAGGATTCGTCGGGCGGTTAGAAGCTCAGAGGGGTTTGTCAGATTTGTGTTTGGAAGAAAATTCATGTGAATTCATGACAGTTTCTTCCAGAAATCGTCCCTGCTGGTGTGTGTTAGCATGTGGTGTTTGTTGGTTCAGCTGGTTGGATGCAGCGTCTGGCCTTATGGGCTCATCGCTCGCTCAGCCTCGGCTTTGATTTGTGTGTCTGCTGTTAGTTTTGTGGAGGAGGAGGAGGAGGAGGAAGAGAACGCTTCACATTCAGCCCCTCCTCCTCGCCGTCACCACCACCTGGAACTCTTCACAGCTTTCCCTTCTAGGACTCCACTTCCAGTGGGATTTGAGTTGCTGCTCATTTCTTTTTACATTCTTCCGCTACTTTAATTTGTTTTTTACATGCACAAAACCAAAGCTCTTCCTGCAGCTATAGTGTGTGAAATCAATAAATCTACATGTCTTACTGTGTTCACACAGAAAACGAAGCATACAAAGTCAATGTATTTTACTATGAAACCCTTGATTGATCCAAACAAAAAAACAGTTTTAAAAGTTGATTGCTTGTCATCTTGCAGACAGACCTAAAAGAATTAAATCTAATGATTAACAAATTGGCATTTTGATGTAGTCATTTCGGTATTATTTTGATCAGTTTATTGGACTTAAATCACAGTAAAATGTTTATTGGACTTATATCACAGTAAAATATTCCTGGGCGTAACGGTCAAATTTGCGCTTCTCTTTCAGTGGGCACACACAGTTTGACGTTTCTTTTCCCGCTTAGACGTCGCCTTGTTTAAAATATGCCTCTGAAAGCATCCCATGTTGTTCTGGTTCTGCTTGTTTCAAATATTCAAACCCAACATGATTTTGTGTGGTTTCACCGTTTCATCAAATTGCAACACTTTGGATTTCTTACGCGTTATTGTATACACATTTCCCTCAAATTCACGACAGGATTTGATTTCTTTTGGTGTCTGGATTTGCCACTAGACTTTAAAACGAGGTTCTGTGGGTTTGAATCAGGACGGAGACGTGTAACGCCTCACGTTTCTCTAGTTTCTGTTGTGAGTACATTTCCTTCCTGCTTGCATGGATAACTACATTGATTGTGTATTGACTTGTGAGTGTGGCTTAATAATGAAGTCTAACTAAACTATTTAGATATTTGATAGATCATTTAAGTCAGTTTTTAAAGCAAAAACACAGCAGCTTCAAAACTGTGAATATTTTATAAAGTTTTCTTTATCTTTGCAAAAGTGGAAAACTGGAAATCTTTGCGATCTGGGAGTATTTCATGGGCATCTTTCTTCTGTTTGCTGAATTTATATAAATGAACACATCACGTGTAGCTGAGGAGTGTAACTGGTCCTCCCTTATTTACAGGTGAATCCACCTCCAGGTAAAAGTCGATATCTCCTATTGCGATAAAAGTTGTAAAACCTGAAGGAAATGAGCAGACACTCTGATCACACTGGAAGTGTCCGTCATCCTGGTGACGTGTCGCTCCTCTGCCGATTATCCGCTGCATGTATGTGATGCTGTGATGAGCAGCAGTGGATGTGTGGATGGATGGAGATCAGAGTGGACCTCCAGGTTTGGAGAGGGCTGGAGGAGGAGGAGGAGGAGGAGGAGGAGGAAGAAGAGGAGGTGGTGATCTTGTGGGCCAGTGAAAAAAGAAAGAGATGGAAAAGAAAAAGAATCATGTTGCATAATCAAGCTGTTTATTTTCCTGCATGGAATGGTGAACACAAAAAAAGATGCCTAGATGCATTTATAGTAGGGGCATCCATTGGCTGGCTATGTCATTGTCTCCTGCCTAAAACTAAATTTTTAAAATGCATAAAAAACGCTTGCTTTTCTTACCAATTTTCCTCAGAATTACCTAGATTTAGCTTCATCAACACAGATGCAACAAATAACCTTCAAAACATACAGCATACTGTAACATCCATTTACAATGGTCTTATCACCACAGCGCCCTATACGTGTTAGGTACAGGAATATGCTATACCATCAACAGAGGAAATGTCCTTAAATACATACAAAAAAAGGAAAGCAAATGAAAGAAAAAAAATAAAGAAAATGAGGAAACAGGAAAGTTTTCAACTTAAATCCAGTTCCCAGAAAACAAAACAAACCAGTTCTAGTAATGTGACCTCGATACAAACAATCAGAAAATTCACAACACTAGTTTTTCCTCATTTAATCAATGTTACAAAAGTCCTGCATTATAAAATAGGGCAGCTTTAAAATCAGTGTAATTAATAAAACTATACAACATTACAAACGTGTCTCCCTGCCCGGCCGATGGCCCTTGCTGCTCTGCCCTCCCGTCCGCTAAGAGCTAACTCTTCTCTGCGTCTCTTCGCTGCTGTACCAGAACTAAATATCACACACAACACAAGAACAAAAACAACACACTGCCCAAACTATTGCTTTTAAATTCTTTTTCTTTTTTTCTTTCTTTAAAAAGGGTGCAATTTTGTCGTTATCTTACACACACAGCCAAAAAGTCGCTGATTAGATGCTAGGCTGTTTCACAAGGTTTGTTTTGTGACACTTTAAAAAAATGTCCGTGCAATTTTTTATTTATTTTTTTTAATTCCCTTCGCTCTTTTTAAGCCCTGGAAGCTGTATTTTCCCCCCCATGTAATACTTTTTCACTATTTATTTCATATTTAGTGCAGATAATTAAGGAAGTAATGCCCAACTCATGGCTAAAGGGTAGGCAAGAACAGAGACAAAAGATTTAACATGTCACACTAAGAGGAAACACGCAACCCATACAAGTGGAACTACTAAACCATCACTGGCGTTGCGGCGCTGTCCATTACATCTGAAAGACGGAACAGGTAAACAACTTATTTACTCAATCCTCTGCCGGGCAGAGCGGGACAACATTAAAATGTTGTTGTTTTTTTGATAAACTGTTCTCTGCGTGATGGAGAAGAAGTTTGACTTGTTCAAGGCTTGCTTGTGACCAAAGAAATAAAAAATAAACCTTTAGGAAAGAGAGACCCGAATGTAGTAATGTGGCCGTCTGGTATATTATCAAAACAGGAAGGAGGGAAGGAAGGAAGGAAGTAGAATTCCCCGAGCAACGGTGGCTCAGCTTGGCTGGAGCGTCGCCGTGGGGCTGGCTTCACCATTTTTAGGGACCAACCACGGAGCACAATGCCAGTCACGTGCACGCCAACTTTGGTTGAAAGTAAAAGGAGAAAGGAAAAAAACAAACGAAATAAACAACAAAAGACAAAATTAAGTGTTAAGTGAGTGCAAGCAGGTATTGCATATTTTATGTCCTCATTATTTCATTTCATCTGGGAACAAAAGTAGTAGAACGAACAAACCAAATATTAAGTCAGGAAGACGTGAAAATTTAAGTTTTTAGCTGCACTTGAGACGGCAGCAACAGAAGTAAAGATCATCCCGCCACACAAAGGACAGGATGGAGGGGACGGGCGACGCTATACATGCTAAACTGAGCTAATCTACTAGTTAGTTAGCCTTCATAAGCTCCGTCTGCTCTCAAGATCCTGGCATCATAAAATTTTGCGAAATGAGTACGAAGTCTCAACGATGTATTCTCACATATCAGTTTCAGTGTATGTGTTTTTCAATGAAATTGCCAGCACACTTGTACAGTTAAGTTTTTAAAAGTTTGCTAACAGGAACCAAACTGTTTTAGCAGGTAAAATAAACCGTTAGCAAAGCTGAACCAAATTCAACAGTTAGCTAACTCAAATCAATCAGTTTTAGCTGCTAAACTGAACTGTTAGCTTGGCTCATTCGAACTGTTTGGCTTCTAAATTGTTAGGGACTGCAGAAAAAACTGAACTGTTTGCGAAGCCAACTGTTTAAGTAGCAAAAATAAACAGTTAGCAAAGTTGGACCAAACTGTCTAAGCTGTTAAACTCAATAGTTAGCTAACTCAAATCAATCAGCTTTAGCTGCTAAACTGAACTGTTAGCTTGGCTCATTCAAACTGGTTTGGATTCTAAATTGTTAGGGACTGCAGAAAAAACTGAACTGTTTGCAAACCCAAACTGTTTAGCTGTTAAACTCAACAGTTAGCTAACTCAAATCAATCAGCTTTAGCTGCTGACATGTTAGCTAAGTTGAACAAAACTATTTAAGCTGCTAAACTGACCTTTTGGGGACTTCAGAAGATTTTAAAATATTTTCAGTTTAAACCGGTTTTAGTTAGTAACCTATAGTGTCTTTGCAGCTAACCTGAATGAAACAATTTTATCAGACCATTAGCTAACAGGCGCTATAGCTCTAAATGTTAAACTCATTTTGTTTTCACTGTTGATGAATATCATCGTCACATCACTCCTGCCAACATCACAAAGCCTGTAACTTTGTGCTCATCTCACAAAATTTGACCGTGTTGCCGTCTGTTAGAGATCCGGAGATGACTGACCTGACTGTAGACTTCACCTGCTCAGTGCTGCAGGTGGGCAGGGGAGGGGACAGAAAGCAGTGCAGCGCAGGCCTGAAGCCTCTAAACAACTGAGATAAGTCATTCTGGAAATCACAGCGTTCCTCTTCAGCTGTGACGCTATGACGTTAATTGCTCCAGTTACCTACAAAATCTCAGTTGTGGAGGGTGGAAGAAAATATGGAAAATAAAATAAAATAATAAGGAATAATAAAACAAGACTCTCCACATTGGATCTTGTGCAACCTCTCAGGACTGGACCGTAGCTCAAGGCACATTGATGAGGAACAATTGTTTTCGTGCAATTTTGATAACGTACGGATGAAAGAGAACGTCTTCGAGAACTGAAAAGCAGAATTGATCTGTTGCTGAAGGAAAAGGAGGAAGCAGGGGTAGGGAAAGGAAGTAGAAATAAATGAATGGAGAGATGCTGAGAAGCGAAGAGAGCTGGTTGTTGTTGTGATAGAAAAGGCCTTGACGGGGACCAAAGTAATAGACGGCTGCTGGCAAGTGCCTGATGTTGGGTTTTACAATATAGTGTCTTTATCTCACTAACTACATCATCTATGGAAAAATTTGTCACTAACACTACAACATGCAGATTTTTTTTGTTCTTTTTTAAAAAACTTTTTCACTTAAATTCACTTTTGTTCGACGCTGGATGGTCGTAAGCGTGTGTGTGTGTGTGTGTGTGTGTGTATGTATATATTTATAGATATAGTATAGGAAAAAGGAAAAACAAAAGTTCAATAAAATGGTAAGTTGCATGTGAAGCGCTCAGCTGTCTTGTCTTATTCGTGGACGAAAGCTTCCAGAGGGTTAACCCTCTGCTGTGCCTCTTTATCGCTAAACAACACCCCCTGATTACACACTCGCGGCCCATTGGCCAACTGCAGGAATAAGTGCTTTTGATTGGAAGGGGACCTCTAGGAGACCCAGCCAATCACTGGGCAGCCCATCACCGGGCGACACCCGTTAAAGATTATCTCGCCAACAGAAACTGGAGAAAACGTGATCACCTTTAAGCTTAAATTCACTCGTTATATCGTCTCCTGATTCCAACCTCATGAGAAATTCTAATCGCTTTAATTTTTTTTTTTTACAACGTAAAACGATGTGCTCATTAAAATAAATTAATCGCTTAGCGTTTTTTTTTCTTTTAAAAGAAAATAAAAAGCAGACTTAAGCTGCAAGAAATGCTTTTTTTAAAAATTGATTGTTTAAAATTATATTTCTTAAAGGGATTCTTGTTCTACCATGCTAACAGCTTTACAAGATGAAAAAACAACAACAAAAAATAAACAATAAATGTCAATCCAGCTCCCGTTATTTCTCACAAGGCTATGGTTTCTAGTTCAATGCTGTGTTGTTGTCTTTTGTACCCCAATATTTTAGAGTCCCAGAGGTGTGAGCGGACTAGGAAGAAAAATATATATATATATACCTTTCAACAACTGATTTCAACGAGCTATCTTACAAAGATATTTAACTATCCAACAGCTAGCCAACAAAATTGCACTTTCCTCATGATCAATATTCCACTGGTAAAGTTTTCTTCTCTCTCTTGCCTGCCTGCCTGCCTGCCTGCCTGCCTGCCGCGTTTTCGGACACCAGAGCTTTCTGTCCACCCTTAGCATGCTGTAGCTTCACCCAGACTGGTGGATGGATAGCGGAGGAAGAGGAGGGCGACCAGCTGAAATGACGGCTGAAAGAGAAAAATCAATGAGCCACGAAGCCAAAGCCTCTCAGATAAACGAGCTTGGATCCACCAGCGTCTGGTCGCAACACTTCACATCAATAAACCTCTGCTTCCCCACATGTATAACCCCCCCACCCCGCCCCCCACCCCCCTCTTCATGCGGAGTTTATGTTATTACTGTTTGCGCCCACACCACGTCCGCCCTCGGATCTGGTCTTTCCATTAAGCACTGGTCCATGTCCTTGGAAAGACCCTTGTCGAGCTCCTCCCTCCCCGACATGGCCACCAACCAGGGGGCGGAGTCAAGTGGGGAGGTGGAGTCCATCCCAGGAGGTGTGTGAGGGCTCAGGCGGGGCGGAGGGGGGGGATCGGAGGTATTAGCTGGTGGTTTATGAGCCAGGTAACACCTCCCTTCTCCCTAAACCACGGTGGATCCCTTCCTGTCCCACCAACCAAACCAAACCCTTTAGGATACACCAGGATGGGGGGCCCGGCTGGTGGGCCTGGGGAGGGCACTGCACTTCTGTAAGTCCACTGGATGCACACACTGCAGAGGATGATGGGAAAGTAGTTTCTCCGGAGGGGAAGCTCTGTGATTCAGTCTTGCGGTGTTCCCATAAACTGAAGACTCAATCCCCCTACGGATTCTCAGCCTGGTCTGGTTTCGGGGAAGGGGGGCAGGGTCTGGCACTATATACGGACATCGACATATGAAACATATGTCCACAGGGAAGTCTGTGACGTACAGTTTACAGAGTGGGTGGTTGGGGTGCGTTTGATCCGCTGTAGCCATGCTGATGCTGCTGAGTTTGTGTATGGCGCTGGTGGGGGCTGAGTCAGGCGCACAGGGGGGAGGACGAGGGCTGTAGGGGCGGGGCAAGACAGGACTCTCTGTCGCAGCTGGCATCAAAGGTCAAAGGTTGAGGAGGAGGCTGCAGCGATCTGTCGTACAGGTGGGTGGAGGGGAGAGGGGCGTCTGGAGTCCCTATCCCAGGTACCACTGTGAAGAGAGACAGAGAAAGATGTTAACAGGGAGTCTCATGGAGTCCGGACCTCAGGGATCACCCTGGATTCAGCTGTGCATCCAAATATTCACCACTGAACCATGACACTGCTGCACTGGTAACTGGGATCCATGAGCTAACCATCAAATGTGCTGTCATATAATAGGAGGGCTTCGCTTGTTGTTCCACGTTTGACTGGATAAAGGTATGTACACACCTCCGAGGTCACGGACTGAAAAAAAAGTCTATGGAAAGACAAGTGTGGCCACAAAAACTCCCGAATTCCTAAAGTAAAGTGAAGACACGTTCGACGAAGTTGTAAATTCTCTAGACCATTGTTCTGGCGGGAGGCCTACATGTCCTCTTCTATAATCAAAAAAACTGCCTGCAGGATTGCGTCGCAGCCCCGCTGTGCTGCTGCCGAAACTGGACCAGTTTCAAAAAATGTCCACCGCATGGTTGGTTTTCCACTGGGGAAAATGGTACCTGGTACTTTCTTTCGTATCACCTCCGTCGAGGTTCCAAGCGAGCTGAGGCGGGACCAAAAGGTGATGTGAAAACAAATCTGTGTCAGAAATGACCTAGCTAGCAGCCAGTAGTTCAGATTAGGTGCTTAGTTTTATTTTAGTTCAGAATTCCTTCGGTGTTGACAGTTGAGGAGGTTTGTGCCAAATTACAACCGCGGCCGTCTCCTCTCCAAAACAAGCGGACCCGGTCATTAAAACAGTAAAAACACTGAATAAAACAGTTTCATCCAAAGAAAATGGTGTCACTGTCCGTCAGCAATCGACCTCTTGACAGGGAAAGAGTTGTTTAGTTATTTAAAAGAGTTGTTGGATTTAGAAATTAAATTAATATAATGTACAACCTCATGGAAAAAAGTAAAAAGTCCATTTTTTAAATTTACAACTACCATTAGAATTAATACATTTTTATAAAGTCTTCATTTCGTCCGAGGAGCACGTGAATCCACCGTGAACCATTTGTTGCAATTCGTAACCCTCACCACTAGATGTCACTAAAACTTACACACTGAAGCTTTAAGTCCCTTCTTAAAACTTAATTTAATCGGAGAGTCTTTCCTGATTTTAGTGAATTTATTTTCATTTACCTGTATTTTAATTAAGTGTCTTTGTAACATGGTTTTGAAAAGTGCTCTATAAATAAAGATTATTATTCTTCTTCTTCAGACTTTGTAAGACAGTCACAGATCTGTTTCACCTCAGAAGACCTCAAACAGACTACTTCTTCTTCTTCTGCCTTCAGGGGAGTTTATGACACTTTCTATCTCCACAGTATCACTCTGTGTGTGTGTGTCTGTAATCCATCTCTGATAGGCCGGTATCGATCGCCAAAAAGGTGCATCGTTCATGTTCCATGAATCTCTCCCTCCTCTTCCTCCTCGCTGCCCCCGCCGAGTTCAAGTTCATCCCCGCCCCTTACATCATGTCTGGTTGCTAGGGACAACCAGACGGCCCGGGACGTGACTACCATCGCCAAGGCAACCGCATCACCACCACCACCGCGCCCCCTTTTTACCCCCCCCAGTCCTCCCTCCTTTTCTTTCTTTACATTCATCCTCTCTCCTCGATCGCTTTCTCCTCGCCGTCCCGCTCCGCACTTCTTCACACACACACACACACACACACACACCTGCACTTACACACACTCTTAAAAAATGGACACATTTAGAAAATGTGTTTTTGAATGCCGAACGTAAAGAGAGAGTTTAAATAAAACACATGAAGGTAGATAGTTTCTGTGTGTGTGTGTGTTGCAGAGTTTCTTTCCTGACTCGTTGTAATTCTATTGCTGTGTGTGTGTGTGTGTGTGTGTGTGTGTGTGCAGTAGTGATAGAGGAGAAGACTGGAAGGTTAGTTTTTAATCAATACAACTTGCTGACGCTGGGACTTTTCTACCTCGCTAGCTCGCTCTCCCCCCCCCACCACTGTGTCTCCCGGTGTCTCTCGCCCTCTCGCTCGCTCCCTGCACTGCAGCTCCTCCCTCTGTCCTGAGAAGACTCAGAGAAGATGAAACTCTCACAGGCCAGACGGTGTGTGCGTGTGTGTGTGTGTGTGTGTGTGTGTGTGTGTGGAGTAATGTTACCGCACGGCGGGCTGATGCTGACAGCTGTGATTCAGAGTGTAGATACTCATCACAAAAAGAGAGAGAGAGCGAGCAGTGGAGAGGAAGATGAAGAATGAGAGACACACTTTAAAAGGATCACTCTGGTGTTTTTCTCATGTTCAGACCCAAACCAACAACCTGTCACATGACTTCCTGTTTGTGGCTCACTGGTTCCTCCTGAAGACGTAAACCAGGGGTCGGCAAAATCGTTAATTTATCATTTATAATCCGTCTTTTTCTGAGTCCCTGTTTTGCTCAGTCTGTGGTGCACAGGACTCCTGATCGAAGGGTTGTGTGTTCAATCCCCACTTGCTGCTGGTATTGTTTTTCCCCCCAATTCAACAAATTGATTATGAAGACATCATTATACGTGTGCGTTTTAGTGTGTGCCTCCCGGCGATTGGTCCACATCAATCTATGGACGCTTATTTCCGTGTCCCCAGTGTCTCCAAGCAGAGGAAATTCCTACGTTTCTCATTCAGGGGAATCCGATCTCACATTTTCTGATGGCTTTTTCAGAGGTGTGTCAAGCAGGCCAGAGACTCTTTTGAATTATCTTCAGAACTTTTCAAAGTAAAAGCTCTCAATTAAACAGGACATAAAGTACTGCTGCAAAGCCGTTCTCGCGCTTTTATTTTTGTAGGCACAATCACTTAAGAGGAAGTGATTGGTCATGACTGATCTGTTTCAGCACCAGCCACTACAATGTTTGTTTTCAGATATTATAGCTGGCCCGCAGGCCGCCTATTGCCGACCACTGACGTAAATCTTCATGTTGAACGAGGCTCAGTCATTTCCTCAAACAGACAAACGGGAGGAAATAGTGCATTTGTTGGGGACTATTTTCAGCGGCGGATGAATCCACGTGTGGCGCTCTAGTGAGTATTTGGGGCAGCAGGACGGTGTCTGTTGGCCTGAGTCAGAATAAACTACAGTGTGTGTTCATGGTTATTATCATTAATGATAAACTGAAAATTGGCCGTCACTCAAACTGCGCAGGATGCTACATTGGTACATTTATATTTATAAAGCTATTTTAGGTCTTTTTCCTTCTTATATCTGTTTAAAATTTGTTCACATGCAAAGTACATATCATTTAAGATCTAGTGATGGACTGCTTTGTAAGGTACCAAGAATGAGGACGAAGCAGGAAAGAGGAGTCTGTCTTACTATGGCCCTTCGTCCTGGAATGAACTACAGTCTAGGCTTAAGATTGGTGCACTAATTTCCTTAGCTGCTTTTAAAAAAAGAACGTATGCACTTGTTTTTGTTTGTTTATATATTTTAAACTCATTGCATTTTTGTCTGTATTGTATTTTAATTTATGTAATGCATTGTTTTTGAACTTATGGTTGGTTTAATGTTTTATTTGTGTTTACAGGACTCCCTTGTAAAAGAGACTGCGTCTCAATGGGACATTTCCTGTTTAAATAAAGGTTTATATAAAACTAGGTGTGAAAACTAGGGATGCACTGAAATGAAAATTCTTGGCCGAAGCCGAACCAGAATGGAGCGGATGTGCTGGAGACAGTTCAGCAGAACAGCGTCTGCAAACGGCTCAGACACTTTAAAATGCTTCCACACTGCCGACACGTCAACGGAATTTTTCAGTAAAATTTATTGACTTAGGCCGAACACTGAAAGTGCTTTTTTTGCTATTTTCGGACGACTATTTTCGAAATAAGTTCAGTCCAGTTCTTATAGTTAGCAAAAGTAAAGTAGGTTCAGTTCCTGAGGCATAAAACAAACAAAAAAAAAACGTGACGGCCATAATTCATTAATAATCAATTTAAAAATTTTTATCAGAAATATTTTTTGGTCAGAATCTACAAAAATCTCGTGACTTTATATTGCACCACTTTAATCTCCCTCCCTCCCTCTCTCTCTCTCTCTCTCTCTGGTAGTATTTCCATGTCTCTCGCCCAGTTTTCTCGTCCTGAGTCAGCACTTCACATGCACACACACGGTAACACACAGTGTGGGTGAGTCATGAGGTGGGCGTGGTGTTTTTACTGTGTGTGTGTGTGTGTGAGCTTCACCTTGAAAACCGTGTGTGTGCAAATAGGACACAGAGACAGATGAAGACCACACACACACACACACACACACACACACACACAGAGGGGAACACACTCTCACTGCAACGTCTGCATCCTCACATGTAATATAACCACACACACACACACACACTTATTGATCAGGGCATGGCTGGCTCTCGTAGAGTAGTGTGTGTAGTGTGTGTGTAGTGTGTGTGTGTGTGTGTGTAGTGTGTGTAGTGTGTGTGTAGTGTGTGTGTAGTGTGTGTGTAGTGTGTGTGTAGTGTGTGTGCTGGTTGGCACGGTTTAGGTGCCAACTCCCTCCCCTAAATCCATCTTCGTTTCCATGGGCAACCACCACTGCCGCCGCTGCCCACGGCAACCACCACGCTGACCCGTGTGGGCACGATGCCCACTCTCACACAATGCCAGTGCCATCTGCCCCTTATACTCCCCCCCCCCCCCCCCCCCCCCCCCCCACACACACACGGGAATGCACAGACTGTCCGGTTGGTCACCATGGCGATAAGAGGAGGGAGTGTTTACGGTACCGTCCCATGGCGCTCGCTCTCCCAACAGAAGCCTGATGTCGACCGCCCAGGGTGACTTTTGTTCCTGTTTCTGTGTGTCTGTGTCATTATGTTGATTTTGTGTGTGTGTGTGTGTGTGTGTCACACTCTTTAATGCAGCAGCCTGTCAATCACACGTTTGCAGTTCTACACTTGTGAGGACCCTCATTTGGCCCTTTTCCACCGCACGAAACCAGCTCGACTCGACTCTACTCGCCCTGTTTGGTTTCCCATCGGGGAAAAGTTCTACCGGGTACCTTTTTTTCCATATAACCTCCGTCGATGTTCCAAGCGAGCTGAGGCGATACCAAAAGGTCACATGAAAACACTGCAGACTGCTGATTGGTCCAAGAGAATCTTTACTACTCACTGCATCATCATTGCGTGCTTCAGACAGCTATTGCATCACTAAATCCACTTCTGAGAGTTTTGAGGCGAGAAATCAACTGTGTAGATTATGAATATTGGCATTTATGATTTACGAAATGAATGGCGGATAGAAATTGTGCTTAAATGTTTTCGGAGTAAGTGCCGGCGGGGGAAGCTAACGAGCCGGCCGGTCAGCCCACAGGCCGCTGCAGCCAACGCAGCAGACGACTCCAGCAACAACAGGGAGTCGAGCTGGTACCAGCAATAGAAAAGAGCCAAGAGACATGATACTTCCCCAAACACAGAGCTTTTAAAAGTGGGAGGCTGCAAACAGTTTCAGTTATCAAACAGAGATCACATAGTACTGCCTAAATGTGCGTCATTTGGCTAAAGAGATATTGGATAGTTTACTGTCTTTTCCCACTTTCCCAGAGTCAGAAACTCAGAAATACATCAGGATATTTTTAAAATTAGGCTGTTTTGGCTCAACCGTGGAGCGTCTAATAAGGTTATTATCATGTTATCGTTAAAACTAACGAAATAATGAAAACTAGGTGTGAAAAACATTTCTGTTAATGGAAATAAAAATAAAAACGAAGCTTTACAAAAAAAAACGATAACTGACTGAAACTGTGTCGTCTGTCTGCAAAAGTAACTTAAATAAACTACAATTATAAGGTAAATGTCTCTAGTTTTCGTCTGTGTCAGTGGGACGACATAAGAATGGTATTTTGGGTGGGTATGAAATCTTCTAGTTTCTTAGCTGTGCCAGTTTTTAGCCCACGCCCCTCGCCTGGCATCATGGTGGCGAAAGTTGGGAGAACGAGACCCAAAGACGAACACTGAAACTAAACTTAAACTTTTTTTTCAGAAAATAAAACTAAACTAAACAAGGAAACCTGTGTTAAAAACGAATTAAAACTAATGACAAATGCAAAACTATACTAACCTGTGGGATCAGAAAATGTAATCATGATCCCGCAGGCATCCAGGAATTGAGTGAAACTAAGCAAGTAAACTGAGAGGGGATGGGGGGGGCGCCTTCTCCAAAGCTTTGTCTGACTCTAAAACCCCTGCCCTCGCCCCTTTAACTTAAACCTAACGTTAACCCTGCATAAAAAGCCCTCGTCCCCCCCAAATAACATCCCCGCTCTCCAAACATATGCTCATTTTCTAGAATTCACATGTTGACAAATTACCAAATCCCAACCTTCCAAAAAACGGCCCGAAAAATGTTTTCACTTTCTAAAAAATGTCCTAATGCGAAGTTCATCACTGACCTACTGCAGGTCCTGTGGTTTCCTGAAACAACAGTCGGTTCTGTAAAAATGCAGGATTTACGGAACCACGTCCCGGAGAGACGGACGGAGACGGAGAATAAATAGCAGCAGCGACAAACACCTGGCTCACGTCTCAGGAGTGTGTGTGTGTGTGTGTGTGTGTGTGTGTGTGTTGGACTGTGACAAAGTCAATAAATCGACAGCTTCGTTCACTGCGGGCCGCCACACACACACACACACACACACACACACACACACACACACACACACACACCAAGGCAATCAAACATGTCTCAATTGTCAACAGAGGACTTCAACCTCACTGTCATCTCACTACGCCGTGTGTGTGTGTGTGTGTGTGTGTGTGTGTGTGTGTGTGTGTGTGATGAGTTAAGTCAAGGCTGCCCAATCGTTACACTCTTCATAAATCAGCTGGTAAACAGACCCTGACCTGGACACACACACACACACACACACACACACTCTGTTAAACGTGGATGCTGCGTTCACTGACCACCTGCTCTGCAGTAAATGCTACAGGCCTGACGTGAAGTTGCTGCTTTCTTTTTCCCATCTCTGTCACGCACAACCCTGCTCTGTGATTGGCTGTTAGGTATTTAGGCATTTCTTTATGGAGCAGGCCGAAGCGACCCAGTTCTGATTTTTCTGCTCACAAGTGACTTCTTTCTGAGGCTGCGTTCACTCTGCAGGTCTTAATGCTCAATTCTGATTTATTGCCCAGATAATTGGCTGTTGACGTTGTGTTTTAAATCAGACTGAACTGTCCACGGCCTGAAAGAGACCCGCACGCTCAGAAGAATAGCATGACGCTCTGTCGTACAGAGGTAAACATGGAGGCCACAGAGGTTAGCTCCCGTTAGCTCATACCACCCCCCACCCCCCACCGCACTTCACTGCCATTTTAACACGGCTGTGCTTATATACTTATTGCTGCCGATTGGGTAACATCTGTCAGTGCCAAATCTGTACCACCTGCCAGATCCGTTCTGCACATGCGCAAAAGTGGTCAGTCAAAGAAGGTTACCGCAAATCTGCCTATTCGTGATCCAACTAAGTCTTTCAAATAAAGATATCAAAATGTTTTTTAATCAGTGGAGATAAAACTGTTCGCTATGATGTAATAGGTTCAACAGTACATTTTTAATTCCTAATAAAGACAATAATCTAACAAAGGAGGCTAACCCTAGCTGCTAGCACATCGGCCGTCTGATCTGCACAGCTGTAGGGTTAGCCGGTCGACAGGCACACAATCGCTGACTTAGGTCTTTTATACTAACATAGCTTGCTACCTAGATAACTACTGACGCTTCCGGTCTAGACAGGAAAGATCATCAATACTATGATCAAATAACGCTTTGTCAGCCTTTCTGAAAGTGTATTTGATGAGAGGAGAACAGACAACAACACACGAGTAATTACTAACAGGCACATTTGTGGACCACTTTTGTGCATGTGCTGATAGGGATCTGACAGGCAGCACAGATTTGGTACCTAAACATCTCTGACACACTCCGTTTCAAGGAATCATGTCTTTCAACCTGGAAACCGGTTCAGGGGGAAGAAAGGGAATTTGTGAGCAGATGATACATTTACACTGGGGACGCTGGGGACATGGCTGATTTTGTCCCCATTACTTTTTGAAAGGATTTGTTAAAAATGTACTGAAAAACAGCTTGGACCAAGACATTTCCACCATAAATTGGAGCAGAAAATGTCTCCAGAATGCAGGAAATTACAGATTTAATGCTCAAAATATCCCCCAGACCCCCCGCACATATATTACAGCATCAAATGTTTAATCTAAATATCGCTTCTTCTTGACTTGTTCTCGTGCGTCGTCACGTCTCATGACCCAAATGTATCATCACGCCCCCGATCAGAGCCCTTGGCGAGGAGTGACGACCGATCATGAAATAAAAACCGTTTGACAGCTTACACCTTTGGCTGTCATTGGAAATGATTTTTAAAAAACAAAGACATTTGTTATTATTATTATTAACATTATCACCTCCAGATCACTGCGAGCCCGTCCTTTTTTTGGAGTACATTTGTCTGAAAAAGCTGCTTTCTTTTTTCTCCTCCTCGCTTTCAGCTGAAGAAAGAAAACCCACAAGTGACACACGGCCCAAAGAAGGTTTTCATTTCTTTCACCAACAGCTGTCCACTTACTGCTGGACGGAGTTTCACTCCTGCTTTGTTCTGTATTTAAATTTGTCTCCGTCACAACCGGCAAACTCGCCAAAATCCTCAACACGTCTCTCACCCACGGACTCTTGGCTAGCGGGTCGGCAGTCACATCATAATCTGGGTCTGAATCTTCTAATTTGTTGTTGTTTTCATCCTCTGTAATCTGCAAAACTCTCGCTCAGCTCATCAGCTGTTATCACTGTCTGAAGCGCAGCTTTGGAAACTTTTGAAAACACTTCTAAAATACAAATCCCATAATGCATTTCATCTCCCCCACAGGTTTCAGCGGACATGTGTCTTGAAAACGATGACTATGACGATGATCTATTAAACACGCAAGAAGTCGTATCCGGTCTTAATGGGTTAACCAAATCACGCACATGTAGGATATATGTGATCTCCTTTTGATAAATAATGTAATATTTTTTCACTGAGCCTCCCCTGAAACAGTCTGGCTCGCCTCTCACTTTAAAAACCTCTAACTGTACTGAAGGCAATGAAAAGCTGTGAATATATTGGCAGAAATGTGACTCCGGCAGGGAAACTGGGAGGGTTAGCAAGTGTGCTGCGCGTGACGTCGCATTATTCTTCTGAGCATGTGGGTCACTTTCAGGCCGTGGCCAGTTCACACTTCAGTCTGATGAGCAGTCAATTAAAACAGTCAGATCCGGGCAATAAATCAGAATCGAGCATTAAGGCGTGCAGGGTGAACGTCACGGCGGATCGTCATGTTGAAGTAGGAAAGGGACAAACTGTTGACTCAAAGCTGGAAGAACGCCGCCGTCTCATAAGTTGTCGTACGCTGGAGCGTTAAGATTCCTTTACTGGAACCCAGAGGCCAGAGACCAGGATAAACCCCGACCAAAAGTGACATCCACCTAGTGTAAGAAGGAGACCCAGAACAAAGCGGAGGGAGTACACCCCCCATGTGGAGGACGTGTTTACCTGTGGTTGCTGAGGGATGTTAAAGCCAGGGTCTCTGGGTCCGACGCTGACAAACCGCTGGGCTGGAGATGAAGTGGGGGTGGAGTAGGCTGTACGACACACACAAAGATCAGTTAGGGTTGTTCAGAAAAGGACTTCAACACCAGATACTTTAGCTTTTTGACTTGTTATCCTCCCCAAGACCAAACATAAGAATGTAAACCCCAGGACGTGTTTAGCCTAGCTTAGCACAAACACTGGAAGCAGGGGGAAACTGTTAGCCTAGCGCCACCAGCATCAGTGTCAAACTGCCACTCACAGCGTTGACGGATTAATAAAGTTTAGAAAGACTTTTAGGAATTATTAAGATCTAGTTCAGAGTGATGACAAAGGTTTCCTTCCTGCTGGAGATTAAGAACATTTGAACTCAACTCTGAAAGCATTAACTATATATAAATTTATTTACATGTTGTTGTGAGCAGGATTAAATATTTTGGCACAGGCTGGATGTGTTTTTGCCAAACGACAAGAAATCGTCACTAAACCCTGAAGTCAAATATAATCCAAACACAATACAACTCACTGCTGACAGATCATGAGTCATTTCTTTAGGTTTTTGAAGTAAATATAAGTTCATTTAAATATTGTAATATTTGTTGCAGAGGCGGCCTCCAGGAAAACATCGTCTTGCACACAATCACTTATGCATGTTGGGTATGAATTAAAAGTTAAGAGTCATGATAATATCATAGGATTGTGCAGCATGTGTGCACTCACTGGGTGAGGTGGGTGAGTTGCCTCCCCCCTCGGTGGAGGAGGTGGAGGGCGGCTTGGCGTCGACGGGCAGTGGGACGGGACGTGCCATCGGGGGAGGCGGAGGCGGAGGCAGCATGGGCGTCGGCAGGAAAGGATTGTGGACCTTTCCCTGGGAGCTACCATTAGGCTGAAGAAGAAGAAGAAGAAGAAGGAGGAGGAGGAGGGGGGGCAGTTAAAAAGCATTCAGTACAAATAAACACACAGTATTGTGTAGAGAGAAACACCAACAGGTCGGCCTCACAGCTAACCTGTAACAGCTCGACTCGCCGTCCTCTGAGTGTGTGAGTGTGTCAGCACTTTTCCTCTCTGGTCATAAAGAATTCTGCTGCTGCTCGCATTTTATCCTGCTAATCTATAAGCATAATACCACAGCACCTCGCTGCACCTCTCCTTCTGTCTGCACTCCTTCCCTGCACACACTGCACACTGATACACCCTGTGTCTTTATTCATTATGTGCGTGTTTACGGGTTTATGTGGGCGCTTTGTATTCTGTGTGTGACAGGGCGGCACATAAAAACACCGGGGGCCTCATTTATAAAACTGTGCGTAGAATCCTCACTAAAAGTGTCCGTGCGCCCAAAAGCCAACAATGGCGTACGCCAAAAAAATATTCAGACTTATAAAACCGTGCGTACGCACATCTGTAAGCAAGTTCCCTTTATAAATCACAATCAATTTCAAATGTGGCGCCTGTGAGCTCGCAGTTACCTTTAGATGGTCAGTGAAGCTCATTAATATTTATACGTCCTGACTGCAGGAAGAAAAGGAGGCAGAAAAGCTACAAAACAAAATCTAACTCAGTGACTTTTGGTGAAGGCGATGGCGTAATGGGTAAGAGACCCGGGTTCAATCCCCCACTGTGACCGATCCACCAGTGTGTCCCTCTCGTGAACCCCTCTTTGCTCCAGAGGCGTGCGACCTCTGACCTCTGACATGTATAGCAATTGTAAGTCGCTTTGGAGAAAAGCGTCAGCTAAATGTAATGGAATGCATGTCGAAGTGTCCTTGGGCAAGATACTGGCGGCTGTTCCACCAGTGTGTGAATGTTAGTTTCTGTTTGAGCACTTAGGCTCAGTGTGTGAATGCAGATGTAGTGTAAAAGCGCTTTGAGTGGTCAAAAAGAATAGAAAGGCGCTATACAGAGCATTTACACTGAGCAGCTGAAGCTGTTTGGTGGGTAAAAAACGCACTTTCACTCCTGTTCAACTTATTTAAGAGAATAGATTGTGCTGCATGCGAGTAGCCTATTAATTAATATGACTCCTGATTAAACTGTGCAGCATATTTGAGGCGTTCTTTTGCAGAAACAGAATCTCTGTGTTTATTATCCTTATTATCTGGATCTTTCTGTGGCTGCAAATGATCTTAAATTGTGTTTTTTTACTCACTTCAGGGAAAATCAAACAGGCGTTTGTTTATTCAGGAAGTCTTTAAGCCTGGAACACTCAGAGGTAATATTTGGATTTATTTTACACAGCAGTCGGCCTCTTCATTTCAAACCGTTTCACCTTCTGCCATGTGAGGCGCCGTTTCTCTTTTCTCCTCTTTACGCATGGTTCAGAGTTTACTTACAGGACGCACATTCTCCGTCAAGTTTGTTTTTCATAGATCACAACCTTTGCTTGGGAAGTGGCGTCCGCACCGTTTATAAATGAGACTAGTTTCTGATATTATGTCACGACATGTGTGCAGGTACTTCAACAGCTCCACCAGGAGCCTTTCAGAATCAGATCATTTTGCCCGATTTTGCCGACATGTTTAGATTTTGTTGATTTAGTAATCAGTGTTGATGATTAAGTAGGCTACGTAGTTAAATGATTTCTTTTTGTGTCTGTTTTAACCATCTTCATTGTTGTTTTATTTTGAAAATTGACCGGATCCTCTCTGCCGTTCTGTGTCTGACTTCCTGCCTGGTCAGATCTGCGCTGTGCTGCTGGTCGGCTGGTTCTGTTTTACAGCAGACTCACTGGACAGAGCTGCTGTTTTTGTCAGCTTGAAATGACCACAGACTTTGGAAACTTTCTGTCTTTGGGCGTTGAGTTCAAGCTCAGATCGGTTTGCAACGTTTTCAGATTGAACGCCATGTTTCCTTGAAACGTTCCACAAAGAGCTTTGATGTATGATGTAAGCTTCCGGTCTGAGACGTGAATCCAAGTCCCTGAAACCTGCATTCTATCGAACGGCCAGCAGGGGGCGACTCTTCTGGTTGCAAAATGAAGTCCAGTCCCATTAGAAATAACAGTAAAATGTTTCTACTTGTCAGCTGATTTATTCCCTCAGTAAACACTTTCCTGATGAGTTTCTGGTCTCAGTCGCTAGTTTCAAGTCTTCTTCAACACAGCATGATATTCATTTAGTAAATTATGGTCCCATTTAGAGGAACAGAGACCAGGAAGCAGGGGAGGCTTTAGGGCGGGGCTACAAGCTGATTGACAAGTTGTCAATCAGGATAGAGGCGACTCGTACCCACGGCGTTGTGTAAATTTAACCAGCAACGTTGAAAAAGCTCATCAGGAGTCGGCTGTTCACTTTCTCTGGTGAGCACGTTTAGTTTTAAGACTTGTTGTTCGCTGGACAAACTTATCAGCCCTGTTAAAATGTCAGTTAACGTGAGTTACAGACGCACCTCGCTAAGCATCAACTCCACCGTCTCGTCCAAATATGGTCACTTCCAGGCACTTCCTGGTTGCAAAAACATGGCAGCACCCTATGGGCCAAACTCCAGGCTTCAAAACGGCAGTCCACAAGCAAACAGGTGACGTCACGATAACCACGTCCACTTCGTTTATACCGTCTATGGTGTTACCCAATCAGCTGCGACAAGTTTGTAAACACAACCATGTTAAAAAGGCAGGAAAATGCAGTGCGCTTGCGTTCACTGTTTTTTCTCTTTGTCTTCTTCCTCCCTCGCTGTTTTCTCTCTCTTCCGCCCCATCAAATCACCTCATCTTCACTTGTAAGTGCGACACCAATAATTTTTGGGGGCGAAACAGTGCGCTGTATCTAGTGATGTGGATCAAACGAATGAAGTAAAAAAAGTTTTTAGCGATGAATCGTTTCAGCCCCGGAGGAGACATGTGCTGCAACAAAAGTCCAAATGTGAAAAATCAAGCTGCAGCTGACTCGCCGGAGTCAAGAAAGAGTCAGAAAACAAAGATCGGCGTCTCTGAAACTTTCAGATGTTTTATAGATTTAAAAAAATAAATAAAAATTGTTAAAAGTCGTCATATCAGAAAAGTTGCTCACTTGGCGAGAGAGATGCTGTGTTGTGGAAACCTGTCGACTGTGTGTGTGTGTGCGTGTGTGTGTGCGTGTGTGTGTGTGTGTGTGCGTGCGTGTGTGTGTGTGCGTGCGTGTGTGTGTGCGTGGTATTGATTCAGTGTCTAGACGCAGATATATCAGCTATCTCACTGCAGACACAAGGCCACACACACACACAGCAGTGTTTTCTGCTCCAGCCCTGCAAACAGAAACTGATCCCACCTTTGCAGAGGTTTCCAGCTCAGATGTGTGTGTGTGTGTGTGTGTGTGTGTGTGTGTGTGTGTGTGTGCTTACGTTGAGGAAGCCCACCTGTCCGGCCTGCTGGGCGGAGTCAGGGCAGACCAGCTGGACGAACTCCTTGAGCGTCTCCTGCGGGTGATACCTGATGGCCGGGTGGGAGAAGTAGGAGCCGGGCTGCTGCAGGATGGGGGAGGAGGAGAAGTGGAGGCTGGAGGGGGGAGCATGGGGGCTCGCTGTGTGGGGGGTGGGGGGGGGGGGGGGGGGGGGGGGGGGGGGGGGGGAGAAAAAGACAGAAAGTTATTAAGAGAAGAGAGAGAGTTAAGGAGAGAGAGGAGGACACTTACAGATGACTGAAAGGGGCGTGGCCTAACATGCAAATGCATGATGACAGACACACACAGCAGAGCAGGTGACAGCGGACCATAATGCACCTCTCACACCCAGCTGTCAATCAAAAAGAGTCTCTCCTTATTATCTCATCTCCTCACCCTCCTCTTTCCCTCTGCATCTCCATCCCTTGTCTACTCTCCTCTCATGTTTCCTCTTGTTCACTTTCTTCGTCCTTCCTCTCCTCTCCTTCCTTGTTTCCTCTTTTTCCTCCCTTGTTTCCTTCTCTCCTCCTCACCCTTTCTCCCTCTCCTCTCATGTTTGCTTTCATCTTCTCCTTTTCCTCTTGTCCACTTTCCTTGTCTCCTTTTTCTTTCCTTCATTTCCTTTCTCTCCTTGTTTCCTCTCCTTTCCTTTTTTCCTCCCTCTCCTCCCTTGTTTCCTCTCCCCCTCTTTCCTCTTGTCCACTTTCCTTGTCTCCTTTTCTTTCCTTCCTCTCTTCTCCTCTCGTTTCCTCTCATCTTCTCCCTTTCCTCTCCTTTTGTCTTTCCTCTTCTCCTTTTCTTTCCTTCATTTCCTCCCTTTCCTTCTTTGTTTCCTCTCCTTTCCTTTAATCCTCCCTCTCCTCCCTTGTTTCCTCTCCCCCTCTCTCCTCTTTCCTCTTGTCCATTTTCCACGTCTCCTTTCCTGTCCTTCATTTCCTCCCTCTCTTCCCTTTCTCCCCTTTTCTCTCCTCCGCTCTCCACTCGTTTCCTCTCCTACTCCCCTCATCCTCTGCTCTCCAGTCTTCCCTCTCCTTTCCTCCCTCTTTTACTCCTTTACACTCTTCCTCTCCTTTCCTCCTCCTCTCCTCTCTTTAATCTAATTAGAGCTCTAATTGGCCTAATATTCTGTGATTGCTCGTTAGTGGACGAGGCCTCGTTAAGAACTGTGATGTATAGAGCTCTGAGGAGAGAGACGTAACAGGAGGAGGCAGACGGAGAGAGAGACTTTAGAAATGATAGAGAGAAAGAGAGAGAGAGAGAGGGTAGAGAGACATTTAAATGTAAAGAGAGAGAGAGGGATGGATGGAGAGTTAAAGCTGCTGCACTAATTCACTTAAAGTCGGCTGTGATTTATCACTCTGACAATACACACTGACCGAGTGTGTGTGTGAGTGTGTTTGTACCCTGCGGCCAATGTATTTACAGTAATCACTGGATGGATGGCTTTCTCTGCACTCTCTCTCTCTCTCGCTCACACAAACACACTTAAACACAGAGGAAGGGACACTGTGTGTGCGCATTAATGCGACTGATCTCACTCAGTGTGCAGGCGTGCATAACCACCTGTGTGTGTGTGTGTGTGTGTGTTTAAGTGTGTGTGTTCAGGAATGGTCGAGTGACATCTAATTCCATTCAGGTGAGGGAGTCTGCACAACATCAACGACACAGTTAAGCTACTAAACTAAACGAATAACAACGAATTTTATTGTTATTATATGCAACTATTTCACATTTTGGGAAACGACAGCACTTCTTCTGCGCAGCATCTCTAGACCCCAGGAGGTCAAAACACTCGGCGTTTGTTTCCAACACGGAACTCCTCCTCACGTTTTGTCAAGAAAACACATGTGAAATGTGAAACGGGAAATAAGCGATGCTGAACACGAAACAGCTGTTTGTTATTATAAAGATAACAGTTATAAAGACAAAGAATCTGTGTGAAAGGATGGATCAGCACACGCAGGTATCAGGGATCATCTGAGCTACAGAGAGCTGGAGGGGAGGAAAAAGTGTTTTGCAGTGAAAAAGTAGCTGCCTGCTCTCATTGGCTGGATGTGGATGTCGAGTCGGCCGACTCCTCCAGATATTTGGCGCGCTAGATATCTGGCTGGCGTCGTCAATGTGTCAGAAACGTGTCGGGGAGCTGTTTTGATGCGTCGTTGAATATCGATCGACCGCTGTTTTACCCCCCAGCCTGACAGTCGGCGAGCTTGCCGAACGGCAGATCGGGCTAAAAATCATGTAGTTGAACTGGGCTTAAAACCACAAACTGTTCCTGCTCAGGTTTCCCCTGATTTTAGTCTTTATGCTAAGCTACGCTAATCCACTGTAGTTCCGTCTTAATGCAGATCTGAGAGTGGTAGGGCTGTCGTCACACACGGACACATGTTCACCCGTTGGCGTCAGTTCTTAACGCACTGTGGAGCCCTTTAGCGTCGTTTATGAACGCTAAAAGCAGGCGAGGGATAATTAACGGAAACAGACTTTCACCAGGTGTTGGTTTCCAATGTGAAAGAGAAAGTCAACATTGAATGTCTTTATTTGAGTTACATAAGTAACGTTGCTTAACTTGGGTAAGTCGTAACGGACGGGCCTCTAATTCCTTTCACACTAACGAGCAAAAATAGGCTACTTTCAAATAGTTTATTTTGACCAGTATGAATATTACTTGTATAATAAGTAGGACTTTTTCATCTTTCTTGTTTACCGTACCGGTAGATCTGAATTGGTTCTGTAAACATTTACACGCTTGATTTGTGGAGAATCTAACCGGTCTTATGACGTATGTCTCAGCATACTGACAAAGGTTTAACCACCACCCAGTAGACTTTAAGAGGTTTTAGACATCCACAGAACTTCTACAGAAACCAGACCAGGCGTCTGATTGAGACCTGCGTTTATCTGTCAAAACCAGCCACACCCGGCCAGCAAATGGGACAGACGTCTAACTTGGATTAGACTTTTAAATTAAGTTCTACGGTTGTTCTTTTAACCAAATTGCACAACAACGTTAGCCACTAGTTTTATTCTGAAACTCTAACCAGACCTTGCATATTTCTTGTTGCTAACTTGACGGCGGAGTCCAACGTGTCCAAAAAAACGACCCAGGGCGTTAAAAAGCAACGCCAACGGGTCTTGACCGAACGTCCATTATGTGACAAGTTGGGAATGAGAACGTTGAGCTTGGAAAGAAAGTGAACAAGCGTATTTCCCCAAAATGTTAAACATGACTGTTAGTTTCCCAAAGTCAGCCGTCAGCACGGAGGTTTGAGACGCTGTTCGCCAAACTGACCAGTTCTGCGTATGAAGCATCCCGAGGGCCCCGACAGAACGAGGACCTGCCAGCGCCCTCTAGAGAATCCAGCGTTCATTACAGCCACAACAGGAACGCGTTGGACAGAAAAAACATCAAACTGATGATTTCTCTCTTCTCAGCAGTTAATGGAGCTAAAAAATATGTGAAGTTCTCTCTGCTGAACCTGCGAGACAAAATTAATATCGATCGTCTCGTCTGTCTTCCAGCAAGACAGCAAACAAGAGGATTTTCCAAAATGTCTAAGTCTTCGTTAACAACGCACCAACAGAGTGTGTGTGTGGTATTGAAGACTGGCGGCCTGCATGTCGAACACAGAAGAAAGGGCCGGGATTAGTTCCACTTTGCAAATTGCCTCGCTTCACTGCCTCAGACCTCTGCCGCCTCCTCCTCCTCCTCCTCCTCCTCCTCCTCCTCCCTCTGTCTCTCCCCTGCCAACTTTTCCTTGAAGAAGATATTTGCCATGAAGACGTGGATTGATAAACGATAAGAAGGAGGAGAGGATTTAAGACGCAAAGCTCCTTCATTTGCGCCGCAGGGGGGAGGAGGACGAGGACGAGGAGGATGAAGGATCGAAGGAAGAGGGTGTGAAGATTTTAAAGGAGAGGGGGAAGAGGAGAGAAGAGAGAAAGGAGGTGAGAAAGTAGAAAGGGGAGAGAACAAGTAGAAACAGGAGAGATTGTGGTGGGAGGAGGAGCCATCATGTCTAAAGGAAGAGAATGAGTGGAGGAAGGAGGATGGAAAGAAGAAAGAGTTTAAGGGAGAAGAGGAGGAGCAGCAGGATAGTAATGAAAGATGGATGGATCACAGGAGGAGGTGGAGAGAGGGAAGGGAAGAAGATGAGAAGCAAACACAGATAGACAAACCAAGAAGGAGGAGATGAAACGGAGTCTGTCAGCTGAAGGAGGATGAAGGGAGGAAGGAGGTGAAAAGGTAAGGGAGGAGGCAGGAGAGAAGAAGAAGAGATGTTGGAGGACAGTAAAAGGAAAATGGGGAACACGAGGAGCAGAGAGGAGTCGTGCTGGGATCCCAGGGAGAGCTTGAAGAAGAGGAGACAGGGAGGTGGACTGGAGCAGGTCCAGATTGACACCTCGCGCCGTCACTGATTAGGATTAATGAAACAGGAAGTTGTCAGAAGCGAGCCCACTTCACCTTTCACCCCTGCAGGAGTTCAGCTGCTCTCACATCATTTTCACTCCTCTAATCTGCTCCTTCACCAGCAGGAGTTTCCTCCCACAGGCTGCTGGGAAACTGGAATCAGGATCCTTAGCCGCATTTCAACTGGAGGAACCAGGGACTTCATCCAGTTCTTGACCCAGGAACTCTTCCCGGGTCTGTTTCTAGCAGCTGATGCTGTCTCATCTCGCGCCCTTGTGTACTCACACTTGATATTTTGAGCGCACAAGTGCGTTCACACTGAGACGTATGGCAGAACGCAGTGTGGAGCTGCAGCAGGTGCAAGTGTAAAAGTAAAAGTACGTTCATTTTAAGTAATTTTTGATGAATTGGAGTAAAGTGAGATATAGATTTTAGATATATTAGGTAGATATTTTGGCGTGCGATAATTACAGTCAGGTGATGGTGATGATGATCCGCCCAGTTAAGAAGTAGTCGAAGTAGAGGAAAAAGAAAAAGAACAAGAAGAACAAGAAGAGCAAGAAGAATAGGAAGAATTACAAAAAGAAGAGGATGAAGAACAAGAAGAGGAAGAAGAGGAAGAAGAAGAAGAGGAGGAAGAAGAACAAGAAGAGGAAGAAGAGGAAGAAGAAGAAGAGGAGGAAGAAGAACAAGAAGAGGAAGAAGAAGAAGAAGAAGAGGAAGAAGAACAAGAAGAGGAAGAAGAGGAAGAAGAACAAGAAGAAGAAGAAGAGGAAGAAGAAGAAGAAGAGGAAGAAGAACAAGAAGAAGAAGAAGAAGAGGAAGAACAAGAAGAACAAGAAGAAAGAACAAGAAGAACAAGAAGAACAAGAAGAGGAAGAAGAAGGAAGAAGAACAAGAAGAACAAGAAGAACAAGTGACAGTAGCCGTGTTTCCATCAGCGTTTTTTAATGCGCATTTTGAAGTATGGCATTAGAAAAGGTTGATGGAAACAGCAACATTCGAAAACAAATCCTTCATTTCTCAAAAAAGTTTTTACGTTCGCTTGAGGTGGTTTTTGCCTTTGTCGAAAAAGAGTTAATGCACTAAATGGGAGCTAGAAACTTTTTCCAAATAAGTTCTGACGTAGTGAAAATGTAACTCACGACTGATCAGCTGTTTCTGCTGTCGGCTTCTTACCGGATATTCCCATGACGTGCGGAGACATGGCTGGTAGCAACGTGCCTGCTTGAAACAGATTTCTGAGGACTTCTCTCCATTTTTCTCAGATCAGCGGCCGTCAGGTTCCTGCGACTGGTTTTGTTTCTGGTTTGAAACCCAGACGTCTTGTTTATTACAGCCCTGTGTAACGTCAACTACTGACGTAACTACGCTTGCCGTGATTTTTGTTTCCTTTTTTGCTACATGTCAAAAGTACGCTTAAATTCTCATGACAATTGACCCTTCTCTAAGCCACGCCCTGAATACACAGCTGGCCAATTACAGCGCAATATTTTACTCTAATCCAAAAAGAGAGGGTCAAACGCTGTTCCTGCAGCATCTTGTAATAGTTACAGCAGCTACCCAGAGAGGCTGAAAGGAGAAGGACGATTTATTCTCTTTCCAAAACCCAAAATAAAATATAAAAAATAAATCCAGAAACATGTCGGCTGTGGATCGTTCCTAATGTAATGTTAGTTAGCTAACGCTAGCTAACTTCCTACTGAATGTAACGTAATAAAGTCCTGCTGTTCTGCTTTTTAATGACTGTAATAATGAACAAAGGCCGACCAGCTGTACAGGAACACTGTTGATCCTATATCATTTTCTTTTCTCTCAGTCGTCAGGGATGTGGTTGTTCACTTGTACTGTGTGATTGGTAGGCTTTAGCTTCTATCTTTTTTTCACGTCCGTCTGAGTCCGTCTGAGTCAATTTGAGTCTGTTTGAGTCTGTTTGAGTCCGTCTGAGTCAGTTTGAGTCATTTTCAGTCCGTTTGAGTCATTTTGAGTCCGTCTGAGTCCGTTTGAGTCTGTTTGAGTCTGTTTGAGTCCGTCTGAGTCCGTTTAAGTCCGTCTGAGTCATTTTGAGTCCGTTTGAGTCTGTTTAAGTCCGTCTGAGTCATTTTGAGTCCGTTTGAGTCATTTTGAGGCCGTCTGTGTCCGTCTGAGTTAGTTTGAGTCCGTTTGAGTCATTTTGAGTCCGTCTGAGTCCGTCTGAGTCCGTTTGAGTCCGTTTGAGTCCGTTTGAGTCCGTCTGAGTCCGTTTGAGTCCGTTTGAGTCATTTTGAGTCCGTTTGAGTCCGTCTGAGTCTGTTTGAGTCCGTTTGAGTCCGTTTGAGTCTGTTTGAGTCCGTTTGAGTCCGTTTCACAGCCTGAATATGACCTTCAAATGTTTAATGCAACTGCAAAACTGGCAGTTTGTCAGACATAGCAACCGTAAGTAATCGGGGTGGGGCTTAGCAAAGGGTCAATCAGACGGAAACATGGCTAGTGTTGCCTTGTTGTTTTTGTTTAATTCGTTCAGTCATCCAGATCTCATCTTTCAGTACTCTACATCACCTCATGTTTCGTCCGTCACCTTCTGTCTTTCAATAAGCAAACCCTCTCTTGAGGTGCATTCAAGGAGACTCAGACATCCAAGAGCTGATGAATGAATTCAGTCGTTACTGTATCTAGATACATCTCAACGTGTCGTTTTTGTACTACACATGTAGTATAATCATCTCATACCTCGTCTCAACAGGCTCCATGGACATTATGAACAAAATAGACGGAATAAAGAAAAGCAATTTAAAAAGTATTATTGATCACACACACACACACACACACACACACACACACACACACACAGGCAGCAGGAAGTGTGTTTCTGTGTTGTGGGATACTTTGATCAATCAGAAGATTAAAAAAAAACAGTGTAGAAACGGGAGGTTTGGAGTGGGCGGGGCATACAGGTAGGTGAGGAGGATGTAGTCATAAAAAACACGCACAGTACACAAACCCTGCCTAAAGCCTACAGGTGTGTGTGTCTACAGGTACACAGACTCCTGCGCCTCCTCTGCCTGACAAAACCCACAGCTGACGGGGGAGGGAGGGAGGGAGGGAGGGAGGGAGGGGTGAGGAGGTGAGAGGAGTGAGGGTGGTGGTGGTGGGGTTTAGGGTTGACTGGTTGAGGACCTCACCTCGAGGCCCGGTAATGACGGGCCGGTGATGGTGTGTGAAAGCCGTTCGGGGGGAAGAGGAGGAAGAAGAAGTGGAGGAGGTGGAGGCGGAGCCGCTCGGCGAAGGCACGGCGCCGCAGAAACCAGACTTCTCTGACTTCTTTAGGACGCCGGCGGGCGACGGCATCCCTGCCAAGAACCATGATGATGAGGATGAGGAGCGGGTCAGAGGTAGCGTGTTTTCTTAATTACATTTTTATGCACCTCCAGTGGTGGAGAGGAGATGGGAGGAGGAGGAGGGGGGGGGGGGGGGGTCAGAGGGGTGAGGGGGCGATTTGGGCGGAGTTTGAACAATAAGGAGGAAGGGAGGCGACAGATTGAGGCTCGGGGCTGCAGGGTGTCACAAGGAAAAACACGTTTTCTTTCAGCGCAGAATCTCAACACGACCACGTTTTTTTTATTTATTGACTTAAATTTATTTTAAAAACTACACATTTTATGACATCATAAAATTTATAATAAAAATAAATAATCAGAATAACTAACTAATTAATAAAGAAAATGTGTGTTTTCTATATATATATATATAAAACACTTTATAATTAAAAACTTTTCATTTTACTAAAAACTTAAATAAATAATATATATACATATTATTTTGTAATACATTTGATCTTTTAATGATACAAGTGTTTGATGATCTGCATCGTATATCACCAAGTATAAATACCCTGTCTCTTCATTTCTACAGAAGTCTCCAGTTTAACCCAGCACCCCCAGGATTTCACAATGTCGCGATCGCAACTATTAACACAAACTCAACAAATCCCCTTGAATTCAGCTCGACTTGCAATTCGGACCAATCACAGCAACTGTTCTGCAAACAGTGACCTCTCATCGCCGTTTCCTGCAAAACGTCACACGTCAGCAAACTCACTTCCTTGTTTAGAAGACGCAGCAGACATGTGTGATACAAACAGCAAAGGGGACGGTGAAGACCAGGATCCTGTGTTGTGACAAACACTTTGAGAGAGAACGTCACAAACACACGGTGGACGTCAGAGAGACACAGGCTGCTGCATCCAATCAGCTGCAGGACAGAATCAGCTGGTTTAATTGTGCGTTTAGAGGAAACGTTAGCTGTGTGTGTGATTTTAGAACATAATTTAGGAACAATAAAGTCCATCCATCCATCCATCCATCGTCAACCACTTATCCTGCGTGCAGGGTCGCGGGGGGCTGGAGCCAATCCCAGCTGACATCGGGCGAAAGGCGGGGTAGATCCTGGACAGGTCGCCAGTCCATCGCAGGGCCACACATAGACGAACAACCACCCACACTCACTCCTAAGGACAATTTAGGGTCACCAATCAACCTAGCCTGCATGTCTTTGGACGGTGGGAGAAAACCCACGCAGACACGGGGAGAACGTGCAAACTCCACACAGAAAGGCAACCGGGGTTTGAACCCACGACCTTCTTGCCGCCCAGAACAATAAAGTGCAGTGTTTAAATATTTTGAGAAAGTTTTTTCAAATTGTTAATTATTACTATTCAACTATAATTCTAATTGTAAGTTTTAAAAAAAAACACCCAAGAACATCCAAACTTTCAAGCTGCTGCAAAATCTGCCATTTTAGGTCGCAGCAATCACAAATCCTGAGTCGTGCGAAATCCTGGAGGGACTGCGTTCAGCTGCTGAATCTGTTATTAAATGTCATTTTAATTTTTTCACTGCTGTAAAAAAAACTTCAGCTGCAAATAAAAAAACGCCTGCGTGGATAAACGCCACGCCGTTTGACTGCAGAGGTCGCCGTGGACCCAACATGATGGAGCTGATGGAGGGCGGGGCTTATGGCGATGGAGGAAGGGTGCAGCAGGGGGGAGGAAGAGGAGGAGGAGAGTGTGTGTGTGTGTGTGTGGGTGAGTGATGAACACTTGAAGAGGTTTTGTCAGGTGGAATCGAGGCAGAGTCTGCTCAGCACTTTCTCCTTCCTAACCCTGTTTACACCTCTATCTGTCTATCTGTCTATCTATCCCTCCCTCCCTCCCTCCCTCCCTCCCTCCCTCCCTCCCTCAGACTCTCTTATCTTCCCTTTTCTGCTGTATTTTCATCTATCCACCTTTAATTTTTTAGTCTTCTTCACTCCTCCCTCCTCTTCCTCACCTGTCTGCTGTTTCAGATAAAATATTAACACAAACAAGAAAAGGAGGAAATACTGACTTATAGGAGTGTGTGTGTGTGTTTTGGAGGCAACAAATACACAACTAATAATTACACACACACAGAGTCATGCACAGCGTCACGGTCCATCCAGCAGTTTGTTTTTCTTCATGGACATCAACCAATAAATAAACAGCCATGATGATGTCATCAGCATGCTGCCTGATGGGCAGGGTCGAGGTGGGGGAGGGGGGGGTGATGGGTGCAGCACCGAGGGGGTATCTCACTGTTGAAACACAGATGGGAAACAAGGAGAGGAGAGAAGGAGACAAGGGAGGAAATGGGAAAAGGAAATGGGAAGAGAAGAGGAGACAGGACAAGAGAGGAGGGAGGAGGAAGGAAAGAAGAAAAGAGGAGACAAGGGGAGAAAGAAGGAAAGGAAATAGGAAGAAGAGACAAGGCAGGAAAGGAGGGAGGAGGAAGGAAAGAAGAAAAGAGGAGACAAGGGGAGAAAGAAGGAAAGGAAATAGGAAGAAGAAACAAGGCAGGAAAGGAGGGAGGAGGAAGGAAAGAAGAGGAGACAAGGGGAGAAAGAAGGAAAGGAAATAGGAAGAAGAAACAGGGCAGGAAAGGAGGGAGGAAGAAGGAAAGAAGAGGAGACAAGGGGAGAAAGAAGGAAAGGAAATAGGAAGAAGAAACAGGGCAGGAAAGGAGGGAGGGGGAGGAAAGAAGATAAGAGCATACAAGGGAGGAAAGAAGCAAAGGAAATGGGAAGAGGAGACGGGACAAGAAAGGAGGGAGGAGGAAGGAAAGAAGAGGAGACAAGGGGAGAAAGAAGGAAAGGAAATGGGAAGAGGAGACGGGACAAGAAAGGAGGGAGGAGGAAGAAGGAAATTAAAAAAGAGGAGGAGACATGAGAGGCAAGGAAATGACAGAAAGAAAAGGTGAGGAGAGGAAAGAAGGAAGCAAGAAGAGAGAGATGGAATAAGGAAAGGGAAGAACGGGGGAAAGAAGATGGTAGAAGGAAAGAGGAAATGAAAGGTAGACAAAAAAGAGGAGATAAGATGATAGGAGGTGGGGAAAGAGGAAAGGAAAGGAGAGGAGATGAGAGAGGAAAGGAGGAGGATAAAGAGGAGATAAGATGAGAGAAGGAGGGTGTAAGGGAGAAAGACAATATTAAAGGAGGAGGAGAGAAAGAGAAAGGGATAAAACAGAAAGTAAGGAGGAGGAGGAGGAGGAGGAGAAGGAGGAGGAGGAGTCCACCAGACGAAACCAGACACGTCACAACACCAAACGAGAAACCAAAAACCACCCAGGTATCTTAGCCATCGGGAGGAGGTGGAGAGGAGGAGGAGGAGGAGGAGGAGGAGGAGAGGAAAAGGAGGTGACGGCTTCACAGACACGAAACAGAAAAGTAAGAGGCGTGTTCACAGTCTTTACCTTGTCGGGAGATGAACGAGCTAGCTAGAGAGCCACGCAGCTTATATCCGGCTTTTCCAACGCGAGACGGAGGAAAGAAAGAACAGAAACGAACAGAGGAAAGAAAAAGAAAAGCAGCATGAATACACGGCCTGAGAGAGAGAGAGAGAGAGAGACCTCAACAACGTAGTGCTCATGTAAGAGTGTCCCACGCCACACATTCACACAGCGACCCGTTCTCAATCCCACGGCGTCCAATACATACGCTTCGCCACGTTCTCCTCTAAATGGGACCATAATTTACTAAATGAACATCACGCTGTGTTGAAGAAGACTTGAAACTAGCGACTGAGACCAGAAACTCATCAGGAAAGTGTTTACTGAGGGAATAAATCAGCTGACAAGTAGAAACATTTTCTTTCTGCAGCCGCTGGAGTCGCCCCCTGCTGGCTGCTGGAGAGGACGCAGGTTTAAGTCGCCCCCTGCTGGCTGCTGGAGGGGACGCAGGTTTAAGTCGCCCCCTGCTGGCTGCTAGAGAGGACGCAGGTTTAAGTCGCCCCCTGCTGGCTGCTGGAGGGGACGCAGGTTTAAGGCGCCCCCTGCTGGCTGCTGGAGGGGACGCAGGTTTAAGTCGCCCCCTGCTGGTTGCTGGAGAGGACGCAGGTTTAAGTCGCCCCCTGCTGGCTGCTGGAGAGGACGCAGGTTTAAGTCGCCCCCTGCTGGCTGCTAGAGAGGACGCAGGTTTAAGTCGCCCCCTGCTGGCTGCTGGAGGGGACGCAGGTTTAAGTCGCCCCCTGCTGGCTGCTAGAGAGGACGCAGGTTTAAGTCGCCCCCTGCTGGCTGCTGGAGGGGACGCAGGTTTAAGTCGCCCCCTGCTGGCTGCTGGAGAGGACGCAGGTTTAAGTCGCCCCCTGCTGGCTGCTAGAGAGGACGCAGGTTTAAGTCGCCCCCTGCTGGCTGCTAGAGAGGACGCAGGTTTAAGTCGCCCCCTGCTGGTTGCTGGAGAGGACGCAGGTTTAAGTCGCCCCCTGCTGGCTGCTGGAGAGGACGCAGGTTTAAGTCGCCCCCTGCTGGCTGCTGGAGGGGACGCAGGTTTAAGTCGCCCCCTGCTGGCTGCTAGAGAGGACGCAGGTTTAAGTCGCCCCCTGCTGGCTGCTGGAGAGGACGCAGGTTTAAGTCGCCCCCTGCTGGCTGCTGGAGAGGACGCAGGTTTAAGTTGCCCCCTGCTGGCTGCTAGAGAGGACGCAGGTTTAAGTCGCCCCCTGCTGGCTGCTGGAGAGGACGCAGGTTTAAGTCGCCCCCTGCTGGCTGCTAGAGAGGACGCAGGTTTAAGTCGCCCCCTGCTGGCTGCTGGAGAGGACGCAGGTTTAAGTCTCCCCCTGCTGGCTGCTGGAGAGGACGCAGGTTTAAGTCGCCCCCTGCTGGCTGCTGGAGGGGACGCAGGTTTAAGTCGCCCCCTGCTGGTGCTGGAGAGGACGCAGGTTTAAGTCGCCCCCTGCTGGCTGCTGGAGAGGACGCAGGTTTAAGTCGCCCCCTGCTGGCTGCTGGAGGGACGCAGGTTTAAGTCGCCCCCTGCTGGCTGCTGGAGAGGACGCAGGTTTAAGTCGCCCCCTGCTGGCTGCTGGAGAGGACGCAGGTTTAAGTCGCCCCCTGCTGGCTGCTGGAGAGGACGCAGGTTTAAGTCGCCCCCTGCTGGCTGCTGGAGGGACGCAGGTTTAAGTCGCCCCCTGCTGGCTGCTAGAGAGGACGCAGGTTTAAGTCGCCCCCTGCTGGCTGCTAGAGAGGACGCAGGTTTAAGTCGCCCCCTGCTGGCTGCTAGAGAGGACGCAGGTTTAAGTCGCCCCTGCTGGCTGCTGGAGAGGACGCAGGTTTAAGTCGCCCCCTGCTGGCTGCTGGAGAGGACGCAGGTTTAAGTCGCCCCCTGCTGGCTGCTAGAGAGGACGCAGGTTTAAGTCGCCCCCTGCTGGCTGCTGGAGAGGACGCAGGTTTAAGTCGCCCCCTGCTGGCTGCTGGAGAGGACGCAGGTTTAAGTCGCCCCCTGCTGGCTGCTGGAGAGGACGCAGGTTTAAGTCTCCCCCTGCTGGCCGCTGGAGAGGACGCAGGTTTAAGTCGCCCCCTGCTAGCGGCGGGAGCAGCGCTGCAGCTTTTGGACAAATGCGCACGAGCGCCCCGGCTCGTTTCCCTCTCTTACGCCGCTTCATTCGGCTAACAACAACGAGAGAGCCCTTCGCCAAATAATTCCACTGATGACGCCAGAAAAGTGGGAAACAAATCCGCTGGAGTTTTTCCACTAATGTTCATGAGCTCTTCTCTGGCGAAAGAGCTCCGGGAATCACATCCGAAAACTGAGTTAACGCACAAAAACAAAACAAAGCGCACCTAACTCAGCTGTAGACAGCGCCATGTTGGATCTCGAAAGGAAGATAAATAATCAGGAACGGACACATTCGGACTTAACGAGCGCTTCAAAGGTAACGGGAGGCGGCACTTTCTTTTCATCTCTTGTACCGTGCAGGTTACAGCGGTAAATCTATAAGAATCAGACTTTTGGGGCTTGTTGTTTCCGTTAAATGAACTGAACGATTGAACTGTAGAGAATCTAACTGATCTAACGATGTGCAGCATGTTCATACTGACATGTTGATCATGCGTTTAAACATTATTATTTGTATTAATGATCTGAGCAGCTTAGAAGCAGCTAAAGCAGCGACCCCGCGGGGTTTAAGAGGTTTTATACATCCAGAGAACTTCTATAAAAACCACACCAGGCGTTTAATGTGGACCTGCGTTTATTAGTCTAAATGTGTTCCCACAGCAGGCCAGGAAACGGGGCGGGCGGCTATTTGGGATTCGGCTATTAATTGTTTCATGTTAAAAGTTTCACGGTCCACCTCCTTACTCTGAGAGACGTGGACGGGTGAGAGTCTGTAAATAAATAATATACCGGTGGGTCTTTCACCCCGGAGACCGGCGTTCGTTTCCTGCGTGAAACAAAAACATCGATTGTTTTTAGTTAAGTGGCTGAAGTAACGTAATCATTTTAACTCGAAAAGATCTTTTGCTAAACCTAAAACTGCGACGTTAACTACCAGTTTTATTTTGAAAGTCTAACCGCATTATTTATATATGGATATTTATTCTTGTCCAGGGCGCCAAAGGGTCTTGAACAAGCGTCCATATGTGACGAGTTGGGATGAGAACAGGTTGCGCACACACACACACACACACACAGTTTCCTGTCTAAGGAGTCCCTCAGTGAGTCCGACAGTAGCATTGTGTTGTAAGCAGAAAGTGCTTAAGTGGCAATTTTTGCATCAATGTTCTGGCTTGATTTTTATTAAATGTCCTATTTCATGACATACATGTTTATAAATCATAATATTAAATGACATACTGTGTTTACAAAGTGTTCTCTGCCTCGCTCACTCTTTGATGAGCACTCATTCAGAGGATCAATGTCAATTTCTTCTCTACAGGATACCTGGGGTTTCTTCAGTCTGGCTGACGGAGAGCTGCTCTCTCTGTGGTGTCAGGCTGAATGACGCTTCCCCTAACCTGCCCTGCACACCTGATCTGCAGGTAACAAGAACACCTGAAGGCCCGTGTGACTCTTTCTGACGCACCTCAGCTCACTCTCTCACTCAGTATGTGGTCGTTGTTTCCTTGCATGTCACCTGCGTCTTCTCGCTCTCTCTCACACTCCCCTCCCTGCTGTAAGCATCACCTTCACGCTGTTACATGAATGCATCGCTCCGTTCACAAGCTGCTTCGGAGCGGCAGGTTAAAGTTGGGATGTGTATGAAGCGTGTGTGTACGGTGGAGGAGGGGGAGGAGGGCTGAGGTATTAAGCTTGGTGGCGAGGAGGGCGGGGGTTGTTAGAGGAGGTGTTAGGGGTAGTTGTGCGGTTGGTACCTGGCTCCACGTCGTGCCAGCTGCTCGCCTGGCTGCCGCTGCCCGGAGATCGACCCTGACTGGGGTAGTAGGACTCCTCGCCGGGACTGTCCACGTCCTCCTCCATACACTTTATCCTCTTGGCAGAGCTGGACACACAAACACAGGGGAGACAGCACCGTTGTTAACGTCTCATATGCCAGTTTGATTGTATAATAACTTTTCACACATGCAATGCAGCTCAAAGTGCTTCGCATTCACAAGCACTTAAGAGGAGTAACATATAAATAAATACAGCAGCATGCACAAAACACAGGTATTAGAACTGGAATAAAGGTCAGGGCTACAAAATCTAATAAATACATAAATAAAAGTGTGTTTAATCACTTAAAATCAAAGGCAGATAAGTAGGTCTTGAGTTACTTCTTAAACTATCTATAGAGGTAGCTTCTCTTATTTGTAAAGGAAGTCTGTTCGATTGCTGCTACGCCAAACTCTACAAGAACTTTAAAATCAATTCTAAACTCTACGGGAAGCTCAAACTGGGAGAGTTGTGTTCTCTCAGTTCAAACTCTTGCTGCCACATTTTGTACTAGCTGCAGCTTCTCAAAACATTTTTGGGGAAAATGTCCAAATGTGAAAAAACATTTGGACATTTGGACAAAAGCATGCAACAACTTTTTGGCATCTTCCAAGGCGAGGTAGGGTCTACTTCTGGCAACAACTTGGTTAAAATGTGATTTAAAATCCAGGCTTTTGAGAACACTCTTATTCTGCACAGCTACACAGACTTTTAGATCTACAAGAAATACTGTTGTTCATCTCATTATTCTGATGAGCACAAGTAACCAGTTAAAAGTGAGTTTATAACATGGAGGATTTAAACACGTCCTCTCTTTGTTGGTGTTACAGACAATAAATATGTATACAGATAATAAAACACGCTTGTTGACAAGTATTGTCATAACTAACTAACTAAAGAGCTCCAGGATCTAAATCCCAAAATCCAGAAGTACACAAAATAATCAAGTTATTCTGGCAGTTTGTGGCTGTAGGAATCTGACGAATAAACAGATGTTAGAAGTGAGACATTATTTGTTTCTGCTTTGTAAGTAGAATATAAATGCACTGAAGAATTATCATATTATTATCATATATTTTGTCCCTGCGTGTGGACCGGATGTGGATGCAGGAAGTTTAATTTGCTCTAAAAGAGTTTGTGGATCGTGGAAAAAGTACTCCCTCTGGATCAGGTTAAAATGCAGGTAAAAGGTCTGTAAAAGGTCAGTAAAGTTCTCATGCATTCCCAGAAAAAGTCCTGTGGTGGAAAATGAAATGAAATGAAACTTTCCTCTCTTCTGATGCTTCTTCAGACTTTGATGCACCAGGGTAAAAAACAGGCTCAGTGAAGTCGGCTGCATCAAAGGCCAAGGTGACCCAAACCTGATGTTTCTGCTCATGTGTGACTCAGATCGGATTTGTTTACAACAGAGGGAACAAGTCTGATGTTTATCTACAGATACAGGTCGGACTGTTGGAAATGAGACCTCAGTCTGGACCGGGGCGATACGGCCAAAAGCGCTGAAAAACATCTTATCATTCGATACCGATAATTATCAGGATAAATGTCAAATCATTATTTCTTCCAAATTTAAAGGCTGATTTTTGCTCCTGAGTGGAAGTTAATTCGTTTTAAAAACTTTTCTTTCTGCTACTGAACAAACACTTGATGCCAAACAGTGGATCGCTTCACAAATCTGAGGCAGAACATTCAGAACTATTCTGATAAAATCTGTTTTCAACAAATATAAAGACACCAGAAAAATTAAGTTAAATCTGTTTTCAGTGGCTTTTCCTCAACAAAATAAATATCTTAATAGAAAATTTAAGTGCTGATTCGATTCGTTTGTGACTCAAAAGAATTAAATCAAACATTTATTGAACATTTGTTATTTTGTTATAGAGGAAAATTATATCGCGATAATTATCATTCTTATTTTATTGGCCAGCCCTAGTTTGGACAGACAGATCGGAGTTCATGCAACTCTAGAGTGACACTCGCCATAATTCTGCGCTAGACGGAGCTGCTGTTAATGCAAACACGCACTCGCCAACCCTCACGTGGCTACTGTGGCTATTGTATGCAAAACGGTGAGGCTAGCCGGTCGCCATGCATAAATTTACTGACTTACGTTTTGGCGCTAACTTCTGTGACGGTTAAGGTTACGGGAAGTTGCCTCGGGGGCCTGTCAACTCCTTAAACACAAAAATCGCTAGCTAGTTAGTTAGCTACTAACGTTTATACACGCAGAATTGAGGTTTTACGTACAATTGCCACGGTTTTCTCAAAGCGTGTATATATGACGCCTGAGCATGATTACAGGCTGATTTTTCCCAATCTCTCCCGGTTTCTTCCTGGAGTGCTGATTTCTCACATTTCCCCCGATTTAGATATATATAAATATTCACAACTTTTTATTACAGTTTCTGACGTATAAGCGCTACAACTCTCTCTCTCTCTCTCTCTCTCTCTCTCTCTCTCTGCTGTTTCCACCCGGACAACATGATGCAGAACCCTGCCAGAGTTCTGTCTCATTTGACGGACACCAGCTTCGACAATAACGGTGGCCCGATGGCCCGGGGCCAGTACAAAATAACGTCGGGACAGTTGAGTTAGCAACTCACTGGCCAGTGCAAAAACATTAGTGTTTAAAAAAAAATAAATAAAAATTTAGAAACTCAACATCCTGAAGTTGCTTTGCACTGTTTTCCAATCTGTAGTTGTAGTGACGTGACGAGCGGTTGTCAAATGTTCTCTGATCGCAATCAAGCGGAAACCTCTGGGTCTGAAAGTTAAACCATGCAGACGGAACTTAAACCTGCGTCCTCTCCAGCAGCCAGCAGGGGGCGACTCCAGCGGCTGCAGAAAGAAAATGTTTCTACTTGTCAGCTGATTTATTCCCTCAGTAAACACTTTCCTGATGAGTTTCTGGTCTCAGTCGCTAGTTTCAAGTCTTCTTCAACACAGCATGATGTTCATTTAGTAAATTATGGTCCCATTTAGAGGAACAGAGACCAGGAAGCAGGGGAGGCTTTAGGGCGGGGCTACAAGCTGATTGACAGGTCGCTACCATAGCATATGTTTTGTTTTAAAAATAAATTGTTTTGTTAATCTTTTTATTTTTTTTATAATTTTAACTGTTTGTTTTTTTTTTTATATCCAGGATGTATTTAATAACTGATTAAACATGTTAACAGTATAACATAACTTATAAGTCTTTGGTTTTTTGTTGTAACACTGATGAATAACTTTTGGAAGGAGGGACAGTAAACATCGTCTCCAGGCCAGTAAGTTTCAAACAGACTAACGTTGAGCCCTGCTTCCATACGCCAGCGTGCTGCGTAAGTCATCTTCTATACCCGCTTGTCTGTACAGGGTCGCATCAATAAGAAAGCTTTAAGGCCTGCAGGGTGAACGTAATTTATGATGTTTAACTGACTTTACTTTGTTTCTTGCTTCCAGCTCGATTCAGCTAAAGGAAAATAAAACCTGAGAATCCTCTTCTAATCAATAAATCATACAGACATGTCTGACGTAGATGCCTCCTGGTGTTTGAGCATGTTTAAACACAGTCAGCAGCAGCAGCTGATGAAGCTGTGCGGGACTTTGTTTATCCTGACTGTATGAACGATGGCGAACAGCATCTTAATCGCTTCGGTTACCTCCACTCTGTTGTTGTTGCAGGCATTTACGTGTCACGTAATACTGAGCGGAGTTACAGCAACTACATGACGCTCATTAACACGCACACAAGCCCCGACACGCCGACGGCCTCTCGTTTACCAGATGTGTTCGTTTAGCAGGAGGTTAAGACATTAGTGAGTGCGTACGAGTGTGTGCGAGTGTGTGCGAGTGCGACCTGCCTGTACAGTGAGATGTAAATGTATGAATGGAGACTCTTTGACGTTAGTAAAGATTTCCATATGAAGCCGCTTCACTGCCTCGCAGCGCTGTGTGTGTGTGTGTGGGAGGTCTCTGGAGAGGTGTGTGCAGTCAGAGAGAGAGAGGGAGTGTAGAAACACAGAGGACACACACAGAAACACACTCAGTCTAATCAGAGTCAGTAGTTCACTATTAGTGTGTGTGTGCGCGCTGCAGGGCAGGTATCTCAGCAGACAGACAGACGACTCTTGTGACCGCATCGATTTAACAGAAGAGGTCAGGCCAAACCCTGCAAGCATGTGCGTGCTTGTGTGTGTGTGTGTGTATGTGCGGGGGGGGGGGGGGGGGCTTGTTTTGCTACAGTCGTGGGGTCCAAAAACTGGGATCCCAGTACACTTGAGGCATCCGACAGTTTTGTGGGGATCAAAATTACTGGACCTCACAAGTTTAGAGGTACTACATACTGGCAACTGCAGTATGCAGTGCACAGCATGAAACTGTAGAGGTGGTATTCTGCTTTTGGCTTTTTCCCCTCATTATTGAGTTATTTATCTTTTTTGTGCATGTAGTCGACCCTTCGCTAAGCCCGACAAACTGTCAGCGCTGCCACTGTCTACTGCTGCACTCCCCAGAGAAATATTGTCTAATTTGTTGAAAGAAGCAGACAGTTTTACAGTTGCATTATACATTTGATGGTTGTATTCAGGCTGTCAGACTGACTCAGACTGACGTGAAAAAAAATGAAAGATAGAAGCTAAAGCCTGCCGATCACACAGTACAAGTGAACCACTGCATCCCCTGATGATTGAGACAAAACTCAACGATATGAAGGATCAGCAGTGTTCCTGTACAGCTGATTGGCCTCTGTTCATTATTACAATCATTAAAGAGCAGAACAGCAGGACTTTATTACGTTACATTCAGTAGGAAGTTAGCTAGCGTTAGCTAACTAACATACATTAGGAACGATACACAGCCGACATGTATCTTGATTTATTTTGGGTTTTGGAAAGAGAATAAATCGTCCTTCTCCTTTCAGCCTCTCTGGGTGGATGCTGTAACTATTACAAGATGCCGCAGGAGCGGCAGAAAACGACTCTTTTTACATCAGTCACTGGAGCTCAGCCATGAAAGTGTCGGACCTCAGTTAGAGCGTGTCCTATACTGCGCTGTGATTGGCCAGCTGTGTATTCGGGGTGTGGCTTAGCGAAGGGTCAATATGTTTGCAGAGTGAAAAAGCCCAAAGTGAGTTCCCATCTCCCACAGAAAACTCTGCTCTGAACTGAAAACAGCTCGTTTGTAGTCCAGCCGCTTCCCTTTCAGCCCTGTGACATCACAGGGATGAAAGCTAAACGCGCCTCATCTAACGCTCGCCTAGCGGCGACTCCGACACGCCCTCAGAAACAGCGAGCTGCAGCACACAGCTGTCCTCTCCCTTCCAAACACTAGCTACCCTCCAGGCAGTCAGTGGACATAAAGTTGTTCCTGTGATGTAGAGACAGAGCTCAGTTAAAACTTTATGGATACAGATTAATAACTCACCGCTCTGAAACTCTCGCTCCAGTCCGTGTTGCCGAGCCGGTCGGCAACACGTACGGCTGAACCCGAGCCGTTTACCGGCTTCTCGCTGACCCGCCTTCTCTGCTTCTGATTGGCTAGTAGTCCTTAACTAGGAACTGAGCATGTGCAACTCCCAACAAAGATCATTTAGAGACCAGATGTATCACTCCATAGCTAAAACGAAGCCTTCAACACAGGCTGAAAAGAGGAGCTGCAGCAATGTGCAGTATGACAAAAATATAACCATGTAAACCTGCTCTGGTACAACCTCTAAATAAGATGAGGAACCTGAAAATGAGCAGAATATAACCTCTTTAAATTGATTTATTTTGCAGTAAGCGGCATTAGGCAGTAGCATCGCTATTAGTTTAACTACATTTCTCAGTAGCTTGGTGGTAGCGGCGCTGTTTTCTGAATCAAATAGCTTTTCAGTAGCGAAGCTCTCTTATAGGCCGAGTAGCGCGGTAGCTTCCACACACGCTACATTTTCCCAAGCATTTCTGAGGGATCAGTGAGTGACGCCGCCGACGGTGACATCACGTACCGATCCTTGGGCTGATGCCTGTAACTTTGCTGCAGGGAACGAAGACGCGCGAGTTTACTTTCTATTGTGATAGTTGTTGTAACAGCTCTTGTGAGAAGGATCAGGGTCCAGCCTGGACAGCTCGTCCTCTAGTGAGGAGGAAACTTTGATACGTGGTGTCAGAAACTTGTTTCAATGAGATGAGATCTCTCTCTCTCTCTCTCTCTCTCTCTCTCTCTCTCTTGGGCCTATTGCCATGAATCTTTAAGTAAACAATGTTGCCAGAGCACAAATTCACATATAAACAATAAAAAAGTCTATAAATAATAAAAAATTAAATGAAATTATAAAAACTAAAGAAAGAGGAAAAAACAATAAAAACAAAACTCAAAACACAAAATATGTTACATTGAAAATATGTCTTGCTTTTTGACAAGCAAGAGAATTTTTCAAAGGAACAATTGTTAAAATAACAAAAAATATTAATGATGATAATGTGATAATTAAGTAACTTCATACAAACAACAATGGTTCTCAGTGTGTTGCATGAGGAAACGATATGGCAGGAAGTAGGAGAGTTTCTGTGTGTCTGACTTAGTTCCATCTCGCACACACTCACACTCCAGGTTTTTAGTCATATATATATATATAATATAAGAGTTTGTGGTTCGGTTCCTGTTTTACCTTCATCTGATGACTCCAGACTCTCTGTTTTCTGTCTCTCTTTCGATGCGCTGTCACAAAAGTAAAAGTCTTCCGAAACAACAGTTTGACCTGTGGAGTGTTTGTGTTGTGTACCTGGAGGAGGAGGTGCTGGGCAGCGGTCTCCTCATGGCTCCTGGACTCATGCTGTAGTAGGAGGAGCTGTCCAGATCGGCCAGTGAGAAATTTGGACCGGTGCCGGCAGCGATAGGTGCTGAGAGAGAGAGAGAGAGAGAGAGAGAGAGAGAGAGAGAGAGAGAGAGAGCATTAATACACACATGTTGCATTTATACTTCTGCTAGCTGGCGGCAGCGTTATAGCGTCCAGCGTGTTGAGGTCTGCCGGCCGAGCCAGCTGACTTCCTGTTTAGCCCTCTGCTAACTTGAACGGGGGTAAAATAATAATCGTGAAGCTCCTTTAAGACTTTCGAAATGTTATCGGATTCCATATTTTTAGATAAATTAGTTTCTAATCAAACTATAACCTTCGTAAAGAAGCTCACACGTGCACCTTGGGGGCCCCTTAGAGTTAATCCGGCCCTGAGTTTATGGGTCTGTAATTTAATAAAACTTAAAACACGGAGAGTTCTAAGAGGGTTGTTTTAGTTAATAAGCAGTAGTTCATATCCAGAGGATCCTTGAAAGAGCTGCTCCATTTCAACACAACTTGCAAAAAAAATGATCAAACAGCTAAAATGAAAACATGTCTCATCTGTAGAGACTTTCTCGTGAGTTTGCATGTTGGTGGTGCGGCGACTGGCGGTCCTGACGGCTGGTCCTACATCGCGGCTCATCGCCTCAGATTTTCACTCATGTTGAAGGAAAACGTCTTTATGGCGCCACGGTGAGAAGCTGCATCACCTCCCTCTGCTGTTAACATGTTTGTGTTTACATGTTAAACATGAGGGTCTAAAGGGAACAGCTCGTTCTGTGATGGCTGCATTTAAGAGCAGTTACTGACGACATTAGCATCTATAAACAAAGACTAGCTGCACTCTTCTTCCTCTCTCTCTTTTCTTCCTCTCTGATCTGTCCATCTTCTGCCATTTACCCTCCTCCAAAACTCTCTTCCTCTTCCCTTCTCTCTGGGGAGAGAAAGGCCTGCGAGGGCTTTCACTATTAAAGGAGTGAGAGAGCAAGTGAGCGAGGGGTGAGACAGAGAGAGAGAGAGATGTTGTCAGATGCTTCAATTTGAAAATCCTGCTGAACAAAGGCAGCAATCAGCTTCAAACCCGGACATCCGTCTAGCCCCTCGCCTCCAGCCCCCCTCTTCCACCCATCCTCTTCATCGCTTTATTGACAGAGAGCATGATGATGTGATGGGATGAAAGGAGGAGGAGGAGGAAGAGGACCTGGTGGTAAGTTTCTGCTGAGCTCAGCACCGTGAGCTCTCGCTCTCTCCATCTATCACTCTCCCCCTCTCTCTCTGCCCTGAAGAGATAGCACTGGCCTGAGAGAGGTCTAATATCTTGTAGTTTGTGCAACTCAAAGTCAAGACAATATAAAACTATGCAAACTGCTGCGTGTTCCACCGGTTGCTGTATCGGCATGTGTTAATGTCTCTGGTCTCTCTCTCTTTTAAACCTCACATTCAGCAACTGGAGAGAAAACTGAAGGTGAAATCGGGTTTTTTATTTTGAAAACAAGTCGTGTTTTTCCTTCGAGGCCGAACAGATGCACCGAAATGAAAATACTTGGCCAAAGCCGAAGATAATGAAAAACTTTCAGAGAGTACCGAACAGATACATTCACATTTTGTCCATTTATTTTTCCTTTTTTCCCCCCACTGCATAAATAAATAGCCAAAATGAGCTTTTTCATCAGTGTTTCCCAGAGGATGTGGAGAGACTATGAGAGGGTCCGGTAAAGTAAATTACATGAGTCCATTTATTTTTAATGTAATATGTTTTACAGTTTCTGTGAATATAATCTAATTAATCTTATTTCCATCCTGTACAGACGCCTTATTTTGAAAACCGGACGTTGTCACATGTGTTTCCTCCTCGCGCTAAATCCATCCAGTCCGACCCGGTTTGATAAATAATGTTGTAACATGAAGACTTCACAGCCTCTCTTCATACTAAAGAGACAAACTGACAGGATAAAGTCTCTAACCTGCCTGTCAGCTCGCTCTGGGCCGCTTCACTTACCGTAAAGGCTGGAATACGTGTGCACGCCACATTTAAGAAGTCAGCCACAGATGGAGCGGATGTGCTGGGAGACACGCACACTGCCGACACGTCAACGTAATTGTTCAGTAAAATTTATATGGTCTTTTGACGTATTAGGCCGAACACCAAAAGATCTTTTATTTGCTATTTTCGTCCGATTAATTTCGGTGGCCGAACATTCGGTGCATCCCTAAAATAGAGACAGTGCTGCACTATGGCGAAGTTACATACATGCATGCATCCATTCAAAGCCTGAAAGCGTTGGAAACTTTCATGGAGCACTGAGGTTCATCACAAACTTTATACCCTCCTTTTTTGTGCGCCCGTAGAATTAACCATTGGCATATCTGACTTATTTATTAGGCTATTCTTGGTCTGCTTCCATCTTACTTATAGATCTTTATCCAAGAGAAAAGTACGGGAAGATTTTGTATTTCGTTCCCTGGACATTTTCCTGCTATCTGTCTGGCTATTGATTTCTATTTTTTAAATGTTGTATTTGTGGTTTCTTTTTAGACCACTTGTATTTGTGAATGTAATATTTTTCATACAGTCCCCTCCAAAAGTATTGGAACGTATTTATTTTTGTTGTTGACTGAAGACATTTGGGTTTAAGATCAAAAGATGAGACAAGAGTTCAGAATTTCAGCTTTTATTTCCTGGTATTCACATCTAGATGAGTTAAACATCTCAGGACAAACCACCGTTTGTTTGAACCCACCCATTTTTCAAGTGAGCAAAGCTATTGGAACATGTGACTGACAGATGTTTCTTGTTGCCTTTTAGGTCGATTGTCTAAACATTAAACAGCTCTGCATGACTAGTCTAAGTTTTCATCCTTGGTTCAAACCTATAAAGACTGCATTTCCTGTTAAAGAGGAGAAAGCAACATGAAGACCAGAGAGCTGTCTGTGGGAGAAAAGCAAGCCACTGTCAAGCTGAGAAAAGAAGGAAAATCGAGCAGAGCCATTGGACAAACATTGGGCAGAGCAAGCACAACAATGTGGAACGTCCTGAAAAAGAAAGAAACTACTGGTGTCCTGAGCAACAGACGTCCAACAGGTCGGCCAAAGAAAACAACAGTAGATGATGACAGAAATATGGTGAGAGCTGTGAAGAAAACCCCCAAAACATCAGGAAGTGACATCAGGAAAGTGACATCAGCAACGACCTCCACAGTGCAGGGTGAAGGTATCACAATCCACTGTTGGAAGAAGACTCAGAGAGCAGAAATATAGAGGCCGCACCACAAGATGCAAACCACTCATCAGCAGGAAGAATCGCAAGGCCAGATTGAAATTTTACAAAGAAGCACAGAGATGAGCCGCAAAAGTTCTGGAACACAATCTGATGGACTGATGAGACCAAGATTAATCTGTAGCAAAGTGATTGAAAGGCCAAAGTGTGGAGAAAGAAAGGAACTGCTTATGATCCGAAGCTCATCTGTGAAGCCTGGTGGAGGTGATGTCACGGCCTGGGCTGCATGGCTGCTTCTGGGACAGCCTCATTAATATTTATTGATGATGTAACTGATGATGGTCGCAGCAGAATGAATTCAGAAGAGGACAGAAACATTTTGTCTGCCAGTTTACGGAGAAATGCATTGAAACTAATGGGGAGGAAGTTGATCTGTCCTGAGTTGTTTACCAGGAAATAAAAGCTGAAATTCTGAACTGTTGTCTCATCTTTTGATCTTAAACCCAACAACAAAAACAAAAGGACTTTGCCTCACCGTTCCAATACTTTTGGAGGAGACTGTGTAAGATAAAGAGGTTCAAAATTTATAGGCTATTCCTTTACAATGAAAGGAATGGGGGGTAGTTTTGTTAGGGAGCTTGACTTGGCTGCGAGGGTGACTGCGACCAGAGTTCACTCTGTGACGGAGTGGAAGTGGCGAGGGTCTAGTTTCGGAAAGGCCCAAGGTCACGTGACCCCATTAAAAAAAGCAATAAAAATGGAGACTGGGACACAATAAATCACACTAAAGTCATTTTATTTTGCAGTGGCTTGTTTTTGATTTAAATTTCCCTTAAATAAAATAAAATAATTTTATTTACAACACACTTTACACAAATCCCAAAGTGCTACAGATTAAAAACAGGGAAGTGCTAAAAATAAAACAATAGAAATGCTGTATTTTCTCTTTATACTGCATTTATTTGGCAGCTGCTTTTCTCCAAAGCAGCTCATGATACAGGCCATCACACATGAGCTACTGTCCCCCCACCTGAACCTGAACCTGAACCTGAACCTGAACCTGAAACCCAACACAGTGTGTTTATTAACCATCAGCACAGTCATATAGTGTCTGTACGCTGCAGTAACTGTAAACTGTTAGTCTGGGCTCATTTTTATAACTTTACTCATTTATTTTTGCCCAGTAAACAACAAACACGCTGCTCTGTGCGTTTCCTGTATCTGGAGACTGATGTTTGAACACGCTGGCTGTTTGCCATCTGCAGCACCTCTTCACCTTTCACTGTACCAGTCATGCTTTTAGGTCACCAACTGTATAATTTTGCTATTATTACCTCATTTAAATCACGTTATACATTTTATTCATTTGCTGATGTTTTCATTGTGATGAGGTTTTATTGATTTTAAACTCCAACTGAAGATTCACTTTGATAACCTTTCTTTTACTGCTCTTCTTTGTGCCTGGTACTTTAATTGCTCGTCTATATTATTTCTGTTCTTATTTGATAAATATCTAATTATTTCTGATTTACCTAAACTTATTCCTGCATCTGAGTTTCCCCTCAGGGGATCCATAACGACTTCTTTAGATTTGACTGTTTTACTGTTAGAGTACTGCAGCTTTAAAATTATTTTATTAATAATTATTATAAAATTGCCACACATCGTTGTGCCGGTTCGCCCATATGGTGTTGGTACACCACCAGCTGTGTGTGTGTGTGTTGCCAGGGGCGACAGAGGGCAGGAGGAGGGAGGACGAGTTTGAACCAGGCCTCCAGATTTATTCATCTTTTCATCCCTGTGTGTGTCGTGCGGGAAAACCTCCAGACGAAGGAGCTGCAACGTGC